TTTTTCCTTTTTGCTTAAAAATTAATCTATTTTTTTCATCAGCTATATCGTCATGATTTTAAAATTTAAGAAATAAAATTCAACTGTATGTAACATATAACGTTTTTTTTTTAAAAGGGAAGTAACATATAAAGTTCTTGAGTAGATAAAAATTAATTTGCAACACACAAATTATCGGAAGATTCAACCTATACCAAATTATAAAACTGAAACAAAAAATGAAATTGCCGATCACAAAAATTGAAGTATTTTATATGGTGGATTCCATATAATTTGTTTTGATTATAGTGTGTATTCAAGATTATAATGAATGGTGAAAATAGATATCATCTATCTATTAATTGAGAATGTAGTTTAATGAAAAATGCTGATTTGTTTTAATTTGATTAGTTAATATGTTTAATTTGAGCAATTTTAATGTGACATAGAAATGATGATGAGTAATGATGATGTAATTGTGACATGTCAGTTTTTAGTACACATGGCTTGTGACATGGTATTATTTAATCTATAAATAAAATTTGATGTTGAAATTTTGATATAAAATTGGAGTATTGGAAAAATTATTTTTTGTCAAATAAATTTAAAATTACATTTCAACACAAAAATTTTGCCAAGGAAATTTACGGATTTCAAGTATTTAGCAGAAAATTTAAGACAATCTATTTAGCCAAAAAAATTTTGATATTATATTTTTGACATAAAATTTATGGATTCATAATATTTGGCAAAAACTCATGAAATCATAATAAAATACTCTAAAATATATGTTTTGGTGGGAAAGTTACAAATTCATAATTTTGGCGGAAAATTTCTGAAATCGGGTTTTCACGAAAGTTTTTTAAAATTATATTTTAAAATAAGTTTTTTTATGGAAAATTTACGGTTTCACTAATATGGCAGGAAATTCACGAAATCAAAATTTTGACTGATAATTTTTCGAATCACATATTTTTTTGGATTCAGTTTTTGCAGAAAATTCACAAAATCAAAATTTTGATAAATTGTTTTTGGATCATATTTTTGATGTAATTCTTTTGGTGTGAAAGTTACTTATTCATGTGTTTGGCATAAAATTTGTGAAATCGGTTTTTTATGGAAATTTTTGAAATTTTATTTTAAGTAAGTTTTAGCGAAATATTTACAAATTCAGTTGTTTGTGTGAAATTTTGTGGTATCAGATTTTTAAAAGGAGAATTTCCTCACTTTTATTATCATCTTATTTTGTTTCACTATAAATAAAGATCAAAAGTTTATATTATATGTGAATGTATGTCAATTATATAGTGAGAATTATGAACTAGAAATATGACATAAAGTGACGGAATGAGATAACAAACTATAAAAAGATGAAAAATAAAAACAAAAAAATAGAAATCAACGAATAAAGAAGAATCATTTTATTTTATTTTACGATTTTTTTAATATTTTAATTTTTGCGTATGTTTTATTTTTTATTATATACAATTTCTCAAATCTGTTAAAACATTATTTCACAAACAAAATTTTTTTAATACATTATTAAACAGGTTAATCACTTATTTATTATTAATGATATATATTATTAATAAATAATTTTTTATAAAATTATCATGCCAGCAATTTTCATGCCCGTACTTATGTGCGGACCAATTACCTAGTTGCTAGTAAGAAGGATAATATTATTTTCAAAACAAAAAAGAAGAAGGAAAATATTTTGTTTATCTAATTATCTAATGACACCTAGCTACCTAATGATGCTTTCATTCCACCACATATAGGTTTAATGATTTTCTTGTAATAAGAGTTAATAGGATTATTTGCAAAGATGTTAAAAGAAATCGTGTAATGAACGGTGAAAGTAGGTATTGCTATTCCAAAGGGGAAATTTGATTAATTTAGTGACACCTACCTAATAATGCTACCATCCTACCATATAGCCTTTGTACTATTTTGGTGATAAACGTTAATATGATTGATTATTCCCAATGATGTTGAAAACAAAAACAGTACTGTAATGAGAGTGACTAATCACGACAAAATATAACGATCGAGTGAGTGACCAACAAATAGAAAGAAATTACGGTGGAAGAAGAATAGGCTAGTGGGTCGTTGACATGCGCATCACTATTGTACAATGGCCGAACTGGACCATTACGGATCTAATCAGTCGGCCATGGCATCGAATCTAAAACAGGTACTTTATCGACTAAATTAATCACCAACAAATTTTTGTTCATTTAATTGCTTTTGGGTTTGGCTGTACGTTTCAAACCAAGCAAAATTTTGTTCATTAATTGCTTTGGGTTTGGCTGTACGTTTCAAACCAAAAAATGCAGGGTCATGGTAATGGAGGAAGTTGCTTAAGCTTCGGGACTTAGCTCAATCGTTCTATCAGATTGAAGTAGAAAGTGGTGCAGACACATCTTTGGTATGATATATGAGTCACTGTTGGGAAAGCTTATTGATCTCACAGGTGCACGAGGGATAAGTGATCTAGGTATCTGGATCAATACAACAGTTGCATCGGTCAAAAACAATTGAAATCTCATAAAAAAAATTCTAGCCAATGAGGTTGGCAACAACTTCGAGAAGAAGGGTGGTAATCCTTTCATTCTAAAAAGTATAATGTTTTAGCATATTCACACAAATTAAGAAGTATTTATGTTTTAGTTATCAATGTATTACTTTTTAATAGTGATTACTTTTTAATAACTGTTAACCAATAAAAATTTAAGAATTTAAATAATTTTAGTTATTTTTCTTGAAATCTATAAAAAAATATATTTAATACTCTAAAACATCATATTTTATGGTAAAAAAAAAACTAAAAAATTATACATTTAAAAACGGAGGGAGTATTACGTTTGAGTTTCATCTGATTAAACAAAGAGTACTTATATTGGTTATTACGTTTCAATTTCAGTTTTTGACTCCTTCAGTTTTTTCACATTCGATGGGTTTTGTTTTTTAAAGATCAAGAATAAGTAGAAGCACAACAACATCTAGAAAACCTGCCCACTAAGTTATAGGACAGTGGGCTAATCAGCCCAACTTGTTTTGCAATTGCCATTACGTTCGTAACGGCTAGTTTACATTTACTACAATTTCTTATAAACAAGTTTCTTGTGTATATCTAAACTTTTATTTATATACTTAGTTCAAAAAGTTTTTTTTTCAACAACAAAAAAAGCATTTCAAATCAACTCTTTTACAAGTTTATCCTTCATATCTCAAAAATACAGATAAGACATCATTTCAAAATTTTTAATCCACGATACAACCTTCGTGTGTGATCATCATATACTGTTTTGAAACCAGACTTTTATTCAAAATATACATTATTCTGAATATGGAATCTTTACCCTCACCATTAAATTTGAATTTACACAACCGATTGTACTAATAATAGTTTTTGGTAAGCTAACCAATTAAATCAAGTAATATATACAGTATTAACTAAAAACATCATGGACATTATCGTTATTGTCCTACGACTGTCCTATCACACCATTGCCATTGCTGTTGCTGCCAACGTCACTTGAAGCAATGAGTTGAAACATAGAAAGATAAACGAAAAATCTTTTTGGTAGTTTGTGATGTGTAATGTATGTTGCAAAAGCTTTTTTTATATAAAATGTTGAGGGAGAATTTCTCAGAAATTTCATATTTGTCTCTGTATAAATTCTACAAAAATTTCACCATTATCGTGGCTTCCAATAATATTTAGAGAGTTTTGCTTACATCAAATTCTTAAAAAAACAAATCCATAATTTTAACATCCAAAGAATCCGTAAAGATGGAGGAATCGAAATGAATTATATACAACCAAATGAGATATTGCATGAAGATGCCATATGTCTTGAGTTTTGATCAACATAATGAGTTGTTGTGTTTCTATATAAGCCATATGCCATGGAAGATACCGACAATATTGTATATATCTAATTAATTAATCTCTAACGAAATTGGAATGTAAATTAGAAATACAGTAATTATAATTTACATTAAAACTTTTATAAATTAATAATATTGAAATTTCAAAAATTTATTAATTTATAAAATTATTAATTAATCGATAAATTAATAATTATTAATTTATTAAAAAATTAATATTTTATTAATTTATAGAGAGATATGTCAGTTTAAATTTAAAATAATTATTAAAAAATAAAAAAATGTTTTTAACAGTATAAAATTTATTCAAAAAATATTATATTAGTGAATTTGAAAAATAAATAAAACAATTTTTATAAGTTTAAAATAATAAAATAATAATACTTTATTATATTATATTATTTATATATACTTAAATGTATAATTATTAATTTATTTAATTATTAAAATTATATTTTTATATATAAGTTTCAAAAAATTATTATTTTATTATTTTATTAAAATTTATTAATTTTTACATTGGCCCAAATTAAAACCAACAAAAATTATTAAATTATAGTAATTATTAATTTATTAAATTGTTAATTCTCAACAGAAGAGTTTACCAAAAAAATTCTTAATTAAAAAATTTAATTACTAATTTGAAATATAAAATTCGTAAAAATGAAATCTGGGATTTTAACAACAAAAAATCCAAAATGATGAGATAAGTCACGGAAAATAAATTGGATTTGTATGAACTGAGACCAACATGATGAGGTGTTAAGTTTGTATATGCGCCATATGCCATTGAACATGCGCTATTTATTACCGACAGTATTTTACTGCTTAATAAATTAATATCCACAGATCCAACGACTAAAAGGTCATTACCATAATTAGCATGTAAACTAGAGCTGTAATTATAATTTCTTGCTAATGCCTCTGGCTTAATTCTCATTTCTCAACAGGAAAGCTTATACAATTACACTAGACTGAGTCGAGACCCAAACAAACACTAACAAAAAGAAAAACATTACAAATTCTATTTCTCTTACCTTTTAAACTTTATTTTTGGCATTAAAACTTTTTTCTTACACAAAGATTAAAAAGAGGGAAAAAAAAAAGACAACATAAAATAAAAACTAGACATCAACTTTACAAGTTGAAGGAGCGAGAAGTGGAACTTGTCCATTAGAAGATCGATTAAATCTCAACCACACATCACACGTGGCATAAAATCCATACCGTCCAGTTTTAATCGCACCGGCTTTCCAACGTAGCCTCCCTAAAATCACCACTCTCATCCAAACGACGCCGTAAGCTTCATCATTCTTTAACCCGTTAGCCACTTCCGGCGAAACCGGTATCCCGGCGCCGCCCAACACCGGAGCTATCACCACCGTCGACTTATGTCCCATACGAAGCGGAGGGAGCGGAAGCGGCGGCGTTATGATCTGATCTTTGTAGGTAACGTACATCGAGAGCTTGTCGTAGCGGATGGAGACTCTCCGGTTCGGGTTTCGCGCCAAAACGGAGAACTGAACGGATGTTGAGATTAACGGCGGCGCCGTGAAATTCAGATCGTAGATCGCGGCTCCGACGACGGTGAGACGTGGCTTGTGCGGGCGGTAGACGAGCCAGAGGATTAAAGCGATGATTCCGAGTAGAACGAGGATGGTAAAGATCGCGCCGCAGATTGCACGGAGAGCGCCTCCACCTCCTCCGCCGCCTTCTTTGGAGTAAGATTCCGGCGTTGAAGAAGCGGAGGGAGCATTCTTGTGCTCTGCTTTCGCTGCGTGCTCTGCTTTTGCTTCTCCTTCTCCCATGGCTATATATAATATTATATGAGTGTATGTATGTATAGGTCTGTGTATATACTAGAATCAGAGGATTTAGAGTTTGGTGAAGAGTGAAGAAGATATAATGAGGAGGAGAAGAGTTAAAGTAGATGTAAGTTTTTGTCTTGTTTTGGTTTTGTTTTGTTGCTTTCTACTTAGAAACAGTAAACACTCTTAACAGAGTACATTTTATTAATTATTTATTAACTTAAAAAGCTTGGAATTAGTATTATACTACTATGTGGCTAATAACATTTGATCTGGTTACATTTATATGATTCGGATTACTGTTTAGAATATTATTTTTTAATATATACAGAAGTACTTTCAAAAGAGTCCAAATCTCGGTGCAACCGTTCACGTGACGGATCTGATGGTTGTAAATGAATAATTATTTGAATTTGAAAAAATGTTCTTGTATAAAGAGAGATGTGAATGTGAACGTAAAATTGTAAAAGGCGACTATTAATTCTTTGTATTGCCTATGATTGACTTATTTGATGATTCATATGGGTATTCGTGACAGCTATAATTTTCTTTTTTGCGCGTGGTGTGATTTTTTTTGTGGCTAGAATGTGAAAATAAAGAGAAAAATCTTAATTGACGACAAAAAAAAAAAAGAGAAAATTCTTAAAAACTTTAACTTGACAGAGTTTGCTATGTGCATGTCAGAGTTTAACATACCTTAGGAATTTATTTTTAAGTCGGTTTTGTTGCAATTCTCTATCATATATATTTCCTAAATTGTTATCAACTGTTTAAATAGTAAAGCAATTAACGATACATTCCATCGAAGCTACAGTAATCGAATGAACTGGGTACCACAACATGTGTTAAGTTTGTTCATAGGTTTAGAAAAGTACAACAGCCTTTCATGTCCACATCTTCAACGAAATTTCTGAACAAAAATCTATGTGATTAATAACAATTGCATTTTTAAGTCAGTATGCTTCCAAAAAAACATTAATCAATGACGTAGGAGAATCTGTTATTTAAATACACCAACCGAGATACCGCACCGACACCGAGTCACCGATTATGATAAGTCATAGAGCTGATGGGACCCTCCCTCCTCTGTCCTTATTGGGCTTTCATTCTAAAGCCCATAAAAATTGGGCCTACTACATAGCTTTTTAACTACTGGGTAGATAAATTTCGATTTCTGCTGAAATCATTTTCAACGGCCGGTTCATTTAGACCTCCGACCAATGATTCGCCGGCCGATCTACGACTCCTCCGCCGTTGCTCGTCACCTAAGTTTTCCATTATCGTCATTCTCGAGTTTTCTATTCTCTTCCTCATCACGTTCAATTGTAGGCGAAACCCAAGAACCGATGGTATCGAATCGGGATCCTAAACCTTCATTTGGGTCTCCGACTCGGGTTCAAAAGCTTATAGCTTCACAATCTGATCCTCTCCTCGCCAAGGAGATCTTCGATTACGCCTATCATCAGCCCAATTTCCGCCATTCTAAGTCTTCTCATCTCGTCCTCATTCTCAAACTCGGCCGTTCTAGATATTTCAATCTCATCGACGACGTTCTCGCCAAGCACAGATCCAGTGGGAATCCGGTGACCGGAGAAGTTTTCACATATCTGATCAAAATCTACGCTGAGGCAAAGATGCCGGAGAAAGTGTTAATGACGTTTTACAAAATGCTGGAGTTCAATTTTACGCCACAGCCAAAACATCTGAATCGGATTCTGGAGGTTCTTGTCAGCCACAGAGGCTATCTCCAGAAAGCCTTTGAGCTTTTCAAGAGCGCACGGCTTCTCGGAGTGATGGCTAACACGAGAACCTACAACATACTGATGCAAGCTTTCTCTTTGAACGATGACTTGAGTATTGCATACAAACTGTTTGGTAAAATGTTTGAGAGAGATGTTGTTCCTGATGTGGAGTCTTATAGGATCCTGATACAAGGGTTTTGCAGGAAAGGTCAAGCGAATGGTGCTATGGAGTTGCTTGAAGATATGTTGAACAAAGGCTTCGTGCCCGATAGGTTGAGTTACACAACGTTGCTCAACAGTTTGTGTAGGAAGACACAGCTCAGGGAGGCTTACAAGCTTCTATGCAGGATGAAGTTGAAAGGTTGTAATCCCGATCTTGTTCACTACAACACGATGATCCTCGGGTTTTGTAGAGAAGGTCGTGCTATGGATGCGAGGAAGGTTCTTGATGATATGTCGTCTAACGGTTGCTCACCGGATTTGGTATCGTATAGGACATTGATTGTGGGATTGTGTGGTGAAGGGATGTTTGATGAAGGGAAGACGTATCTACAAGAGATGGTATCAAAAGGGCTTTCTCCTCATTTCTCAGTTCCTAATTCTTTGGTAAAAGGGTTTTGCAGCTTTGGCAAAGTCGAAGAAGCATGTGATGTGGTTGAGCTTGTGATGAAGAATGGGGAAGCATTGCATTCAGAGACTTGGGAGATGATAGTTCCTATGATCTGTAGAGAAGATGAGTCGGAGAAGATCAAAACGTTTCTTGAAGATGCTGTAAAGGTAGAGATAAGCGGTGATACAAGGCTCGTTGATGCGGGTTTCGGTTTGGGATCTTATCTTTCTAGTAAGCTACAGATGAAACGTAAAAATGCTAGAGAGAGGAGGAGACATTTGTAGAAACTGTGGAGAAAGCTCGATCAAAAATGTTATAGCTTAAGAAATCAATACAAACCAATGTCTTGATGGATATATATATATACTTGTCTCTCAAATTCTTTAGATACTCGAAGCTTCTTCATTCATTTTTATCTTTGAGAGAGAATACTGAGGGAACGAGCACTCTTACAGTCATACTCAAGAAACTGATATGACCCGAATTTAGATTTTGGGCCTGATTTGGGCTTTTAGCAGAAGCTGAAGCCCATTTGGCTTCATTTCAGAGAGTGGCTTCATCTTCTCCCTCTGATTTCTTCTGATTGTTCTGTCATCTGTGTTCGTCCGATGAGTTTATGACAAGAAGGATTTGTGACAAATCTTTGATCAGATCTAAGTTTTGCTGACTTCTCAGAAAATCATTTGATTAGTTACCGGAAATGCCATCGACTCCGATTAGATCGATGGCGGTTACGAGGCAGCCGGAGCTCGAACAAGACGATGCTGCGGCGGACTCGGTGGATTCCTCCACCGTTAAATTCGGTACACCGGAAGCGTTGGAGTATGTACGCTCGCTCACGGACGTTGGCGCGATGACGCGGCTTCTTCACGAATGTATCGCTTACCAACGCAGCTTAGATTCAGATCTCGACACGCTTCTATCTCAGCGGACGGAGCTGGATCGGAATCTCGTTGAGCTTCAGGGATCCGCGAAGATTCTGGATATCGTGAAGGCTGATGCAGATCACATGTCCGGGAATGTTCGATCGACCTGTGATCTCGCGGATCAGGTCAGTGGCAAAGTACGGGAGCTCGATCTCGCTCAGTCTCGTGTCAACGTTACTCTCTCCCGCATAGACGCGATTGTCGAACGAGGGAACTGCATCGAAGGCGTGAAGACCGCCTTGGAGTCGGAGGATTACGAATCCGCCGCGAAGTTCGTGCAGAGGTTTCTCCAGATCGATTCCCAGTTCAAGGATTCTGGTTCCGATCAGAGAGAGCAGCTTCTGGCGTCGAAGAACCAGCTTGAAGGTATTGTGAAGAAGAAGCTCTTGGCGGCCATAGACCAGAGGGACCATCCTGCAATTTTGAGATTCGTGCGGCTATATTCTCCACTGGGGATGGAGGAGGAAGGTCTACAGCTCTACGTTGGTTACCTGAAAAAGGTCATTGCGATGAGAGGGAGGATGGAATACGAAAATGTGGTTGAGCTCATGGAGCAAGGACTCGGGCAGGTAAACTTCGTCGGGTGCTTAACCAATTTGTTCAAGGACATTGTCATGGCTATTGAAGAAAACGATGAGATCTTAAGGGGTCTTTGCGGAGAAGAAGGTGTTGTTTATGCGATTTGCGAATTGCAAGAGGAGTGTGACTCTAGAGGTTCCTTGATCTTGAAGAAGTACATGGAGTTTAGAAAGTTGGCTAGATTAGCGTCTGATATCAACAACTCACCCAATTTGAATCTTCTCGCTGGTGGTGCATCTGAAGGACCAGACCCGAGAGAAGTAGAGATGTATGTGGAAGAGATACTGTCGCTGATGCAGCTGGGTGAGGATTATACCGAGTTCATGGTGTCAAAAATCAAGTCTTTGGCTTCCGTGGATCCTGAATTGTTGCCAAGGGCTACAAAGGCATTCAGAAACGGAAGCTTTAGCAAAGTGATTCAGGACGTGACAGGGTTCTACGTTATACTAGAAGGGTTCTTCATGGTCGAGAATGTGAGGAAAGCTATAAGGATCGACGAGCATGTACCGGACAGCCTCACCACATCAATGGTGGACGATGTGTTCTACGTGTTGCAGAGCTGCCTGAGGAGATCGATTTCGACTTCAAACATCAGTTCTGTGATTGCTGTGTTGAGCAACGCAGGTAGCTTGTTGGGCAATGATTACCACGAAGCCTTGCAGCAGAAGATCAGAGAGCCAAACCTTGGTGCTAGGCTGTTCTTGGGTGGTATCGGTGTGGAAAACACTGGAACTGAGATTGCAACTGCTTTGAACAATATGGATGTGAGCTGCGAGTACATTCTCAAACTAAAACACGAAATCGAGGAGCAATGTACTGAGGTTAGTAGTACTCATACTCCTCATACTTTATGATTACTTAAGGAAACTCAAGGAACAACAATCTGGGATCTATTAGACTTATCTCGCTTGCTCTTGCCTGACTATATACGAATAGATAGTGAACTTAGAACACATAAGTTGTTTGCTAGAGCCTAGAGGTAATGTAGGCTTTGTTCATCTTTAGTATTTGGCAGCAAAAACGATTCTTTTGATCTCATCGCAGGTGTTTCCTGCACCAGCAGATCGAGAGAGGATAAAATCATGTTTATCTGAGTTAGGCGAATTAAGCAACACGTTCAAGCAATTACTCAACTCAGGCATGGAACAGCTAGTAGCGACCATAACACCAAGGATCCGTCCGGTTTTAGACACCGTAGCAACCATAAGCTACGAGTTGACAGAAACCGAGTACGCGGAGAACGAGGTGAACGACCCGTGGGTCCAACGGCTTCTGCACTCGGTGGAGACAAACGCGGCTTGGCTCCAGCCGCTGATGACATCCAACAACTACGACTCGTTTCTGCATCTCATAATCGATTTCATAGTGAAGAGACTGGAAGTGATAATGATGCAGAAACGGTTTAGCCAGCTTGGTGGGCTTCAGCTTGACCGAGACACGAGGGCTTTGGTGAGCCATTTCTCCGGTATGACTCAGAGAACAGTGAGAGATAAGTTCGCTCGGTTGACTCAGATGGCTACGATACTCAACTTGGAGAAGGTTTCAGAGATTTTGGACTTTTGGGGAGAGAACTCAGGACCTATGACTTGGAGACTCACGCCGGCTGAGGTTAGACGGGTTTTGGGTCTTCGGGTCGAGTTTAAACCCGAATCCATTGCTGCTCTCAAGTTGTGATGTTACTTCTTTAGTTTATGTCAAAATCTGCAAATTACTCAAAACCAAATTTTCAAATTACATATATTTAAATTGATTGAAAACAGAATTAATTATCTCATTTAGCCTGTCAAAGAATTCTTAAGCAGTAAAAAATAGTAAAACGCACTGATAAGTAATAAATATCAGAAGGGGTTAATTTCAGTCCAAAACCTTTTGAAGAAAAAGATGGGTCAAAAAGAGAATAATATAAACAAAACCTTAAAAAAAAAGTATTACACACATATCAAATTTTGAAATGGCAAAAAAAATCTTACTAATTATAATCAGTGATCATAGTTTTCTTTCTCTCGGTTCAGGTTTATCAAAAAGAAAGAATAAATAAAAAAAAACTGAGTGGATAGTATTTGAGTGGAGGATAGCTAAAATTCAACACAGTGGATAATACTCTTCGTCTTCCCAGGATAGTACTCTTCTTCATTTTTCCGTCTGGTAAGAGTACAACAATGGACTCTGAGGCTGAGGGGGTGTCACTGCCATTGTTCCACGAGCATCTTATGGTGCCTCGGTATGAACTGAGGATAGGTGATTGCTGTGGACGTTCCGAATCTAGCAGTGAGGGATTCTATTGCAAAAGCTGTGATTTCTTCGTTCACAAGAAATGTGCCGACGAGACCTCGGAGTCTATCCAACACCCATCTCATCCCAATCACACTCTTAAGCTGCAACGGAAACCAGCTACTCGTTGCAGTTTATGTGGGAAGAGCTTCATCGGGGATCTGTTCTATCGTTGTGAGATCTGTAACTTCGACGTGGATCTATACTGTGCCAAGTACCCACCACCAGATATTCTTGACGTTTCCGATATGCACTGGCACGATCACATCGACCTCCTCAAGGAGCAGGTCAGTTTCGACTGTTTCTTCAAATGCGGCAAGATCGGTGATGGGTTTCCTTATATATGTCAAATCTGTGATGTTGCCTTCCACATGGACTGCGTATGGCAACCAACGTTACAACCCCAGCCAGAAACAATCCCATTGCACCCTCGAGAACGCCAGCCAGAAACAATCCCATTGCAGCCTCTACAAGTAGAACGCCAGACAGAAACAATCCACTCTCCTGACTCTGACTCTGACTCTGACTCTGACTCTGACCATTCCTTGCACCCTCGAGAACGCTGGCCAGAGATAATCCACTCTTACCATTCCCTGCACCCTTTGAAGTTCCTCACGGGTAAGCCACCGGACTATTCTGATGGAAAGTGTCGTCTTTGTGGAGGAAAGGTTGATACTCACAGTCATTTCTATCACTGTTCTTCTTGTAACTTCACCTTGGATCACCGGTGTGCTGTGAACCCACCGGCACAAACTCTCTTGGATCTAAAAGTTCATGATCACAAACTCACCCTCCTCCCAAGACTCGATTCTTTTACCTGCAACGCTTGCGGGCTCAAAGGAGATCGAAGCCCTTACGTATGTTTTCAATGTGGCTTTATGATCCATCAAGACTGTCTTGCCCTTCCGCGCCTCATCAACATCAATCGGCACGATCATCGTGTCTCTCGCACTTCTGTGCTTGGTCTCGTCAATTCTGTATGTACGGTTTGCCACCGGAAGGTGATGGAGTGGACTTGTGGGGGTTATTGTTGTAAGCAGTGCCCTGGCTATGTCGTGCATTCGAAATGCGCCACTAGAATTGACGTCTGGAACGGGAGAGAGCTCGAAGGAGTACCTGAAGAGAAAGAAGATATAGAGCCATATGTGGTAATAGATGAAAGCACGATACATCATTTCAGCCACAGAGAGCATTACCTACGACTCAATGGTAATGGTCTTCTTTGGGAGGAGAACAAGCGCTGCGACGCCTGCTCTCATTCCATCTCTCTCCAATCATTCTATGGCTGTACGGTTTGTGATTTCTCTCTCCATAAGAAGTGTGCTGAGCATCCTAAAAAGAAATGGCATGTGCTACACAATGAACGGCTTGCTTTAGTTACAAGCAAGGGTGATATGTTCAGATGTAATGCCTGCACGAGAGTTTCCAACGGCTTCAGGTACCAGAATGGGGATAAGAAGTTGGATGTCCGTTGCAGTGCGATTTCTGAACCATTTTTCCATCCAAGCCATCCCCATCATCCCTTATATTATATTCCAACCGAGAAAGATGATAACATCTGCAGCGGTTGCAACTTGGAGGAGTCGTATGTGCTCAGGTGCATTGTATATGGTTGTGGATTCGTCTTGGGATTCGCATGTGCGACTTTACCACAAGTGGTGAAGCATAGAGTTGACGACCATCCTCTCTCACTGTGCTACGGGGAGAAGGCAAGTGGTAAATACTGGTGTGACATTTGTGAGAAAGAAACCAATCCAGAGATATGGTTCTACACGTGCAAAGACCATCGGGATAGTTTGCATACAATGTGTGTGCTCGGAGACTGTCTAGGGCTCATGCCAAGAAGCACATTTAATTATCGGGAGGGTAGTACAACTAGAGGGTACAAGTCTACTATGTTGGTAACATCAACGGAGGTGGTGCTCAATAACAGCATGTCTCGCACATTTTGCATTCAGTGCAATTCCCGGTGCATGTACCCTATCATCTTGAAGGCGCTGGACCACAAGGTTCAAAACAAGAAAACAAAAAAGAAGAAGAAGAAAAAGTCGCTGACATACGTTTGCTCTGAGACATGTATGCGTCAATTCAATCTTCGTTACTTAACTAAGGAGCAAGATGTCTAGCGAGCTTTCAGTCTTTTCTCCTTCGCGCATTCCCCTGCCTCAGGTTCGTTTCTGCTGCTAGTTGAGGTCTCTCTGCCTTGGTTTTGTGATGTGGTCACGGGTTTCCTCAAGTTTGGTTTCAGAGAAGTGCGTGGATTCCCGGATTTCATCTCTCCTCAGCCATTGTACTTTTATTGCTCGAAGTAAATGTGGCGATTTTCATTCGATGTGTACTGATTTAATGGTGGTTGCGTAGAACACAAGTAACAAGGTTTGAGAAGTGGCTGCGTAGAACACAAGTAACAAGGTTTGAGAAGTGGTTGTTACCAAAGTCTTGAAGCAATCCCAACCGTCAACAAGAGGTTGTCCTGTTGTTCTTGTGGAACTTAAGAGATACAAGACATTGGTTTGTTTAAGCGAAAGTCGCAGAATCTCATCAATGTTCTGATTCGATGTGTTCCCCATTATTCATTTTGTCAAACAGCTTCTACTCAGCATTTTGTCTTTCAGGAGACTCCACAGGATATATTTGCTTATATTTATTTTTATGATTTAATGTACAAGTTAATTTCCATTGTGAGTTCATGTAAGAATAATGCAAATCTTAATTTGATACGATCTAAGCTGTTTCTAATGCTTTTGGCCTTTTGTTTTCCATTATAAGTTGATTTCTTTAATGTAAGAATCTTACTACCTTGATTTGATATGATATTTATCAATTTTTACCCATTTAATGAACCCATCATCTGAAAAGAGATAACCAAAAGATGGATGATAGAAATATAATAAAACTAAAAATCAAATAAACCGCCTAATCGTTGGCATTTTCTTTTCATTATAAACCGCCCAAGTTTTATAGTAATCTACTCATCATCTGAAAAGAGATAACAAAAAGATATACACACACGAACACATGCAGAAGTGAGCTAGACAAATAACTAACAAAGGGATCCAAAGATGTTTATTAAGCACAAACAAATATGGATAATAGAAATATAATAGAACTGAATCCGAAAAGATTAGAGATCGTTAAGCAGTTTCTTTTTCACTATATATATATTATATAATCTAAATTTAAAACGGAAAGATACGTTTTGGATAAGGTTCAAAAAAATAAAAACAAAAAGGAAACAACGTAAATAAAATTCGAAAAGAACAAGGATTAGGAATCGGTAAAAGCAGCATTATATAAAGTGATAGGTTAGTCTCTAGTTGTTTCTATTACCACCAACGCTTGCCTCTTTGTATCTCTCTCTCACACATTCATCTTCCTTAATCTCGAAACTTTCTTGTTCGCTTCTCAGTTTGTTCAAGATCTTTCTTCTTCTTCTTCTTCTTCGTGAATACCTTGAAATCATGGCGACAACAACAACGAAGAAGATCAACAACACGATGCTCTTTGGCTTCGTGCTCGTCATAACAATTCTCTTGGGTTGCTGCTCGGCGACGATCTACAAAGTGGGAGACTCCGATGGATGGACGACGAAGGACGACGTGTATAACAGTTGGGCCGAACGTAAGGAATTCCACGTCGGTGATTCACTCGTCTTCGAATACGACCGTAACCTCAACGACGTCACTCAAGTGTGGGGCGCTTTGGAGTACCAATTCTGCGACACTTTCTCTCCTAAAGCCGTCTACAACACAGGGCACGATATCGTGACCCTCACGGAACCAGGGTTTTACTACTTCATCAGCTCAAATCGTGTTCAGTGCCAATTGGGACAGAGACTCGACATTCTTGTCGTCCATGACCCGTCACGTCCGATCCCTCCACCACCACCGAGCAAGGTCTTGTATATCGGAAAGACCTACAAGGTCGGTGGCTCCAAAGGATGGAAGGTTTACGACAGCGACTTCTATAACAAGTGGGGCGAGGAGAAAGAGTTTCATGTCGGAGACAAGCTTCTTTTCGAATACGCCAACGAAGCCAACGACGTGTACGAAATCAGCGGTCATCTTGAGTTCAAAACCTGCGACCCGGTTTCTCCTGTAGCCGTGCACAAGACGGGACACGATCTCATCAGGCTCACCAAACCGGGAGTCCATTATTTCATCAGCTCCAAGACCGGTCATTGTGCCGCTGGCCTCAAGCTCCGAGTCGTGGTGCTACCCGTTAATTTCTCCAAGAAGATGGAGTTGTAACCTATGGACCGCCATCAACAGACCCAAGTTTATTGTTTCTTTTTTTCAGTACTGATGTACACATTCAGATTCGTTTCATTATGTAAAGAGAAAATTACTTTCAAAGTTTCAGTATTAATTAGTTATTCCAACAGTATATGCTTTTAAGATAGAATATCCTATTATATTGTATAATACACAGATCAATCAAACAATATGCTTTGAAGTTCTTCTTGCCTTTAGTACCGTATCCCTATTTCCAATTTGTTGAATCACTTTTTCAACAAGAACATTGTTGTTTTCATGTGTATGTTTGATGAATAATTTTATCTTCTTCTTTCTTCTGCTATTCCCTTTTTTATATTAAGCACACGTATAAGATATTTGGAATCTTTGTTGCATGGTTTCAAGATAAGGTCGGTTGTTACATATATTCTCAAAAGATGTGATGTATAATGCTTATCAATCTTGAATCTATCTATCGCGTATTATCTACGATAAGTGTGTTTGTTCGATTCCATAAATGTTGGGGCCCAAAAGAGACATAAGAAAAACATCCACTTGGCTCGTGTCCTGTATAATGTCTCTATATATATGCTTACATCCTCAAATAAATACACGTACGTAGTCTCCATTAAAAATTTAAGAGAATCAGTTTCATATCATTTGCTGCTTCGTTACAACATAAAACAATGTCACGACCAGTAACCATTGAAGGTAAAACAATATACATGCATATGGTACCATAGAAGTCTCTCTTTATTATCAGCTCTAACTTCTAAGTTTTAACCTCTTTTTCTATTTTTCTCCTTTTCACAGAAATGTTGGAAGCATTAAAAGAAAAATACAAAACATCTCACTTCTTCAAGATAGAGAATTTCTCTCTAATCAGAAAGCAAATTAGCAGAGTCGAATCATCTGCTTTTATCTCGATGGTCACAAATGGTAGGTTTTGTTTTGTTTTTATGCTTTCATCTCGATGGAGACATATTCTTACCTTGTGTACACAAAGAGTTTCCTGTTTTCAAAGTCAAGAAACATAGAGGGAAATTAATTATGTCAATAAACTTTAACCTCCAAATTGAGTTATTTATCATCAGCCAACTACAACGAATATGGCATTCCAAAGGTCTCTTTCTACATGTAAAATATGATTTTTTAAAAAATATACAATACAACAAATATAATACATAAAAATGTATAAAATATACAAAGATGATTGATGTAGCTGCCCATAGTACGGATCACTAACTAATAATTCAATAAAATAATCTAAATCATGCAACACACACAAAAAAAACTAAGTCAGGCATTTGCTCCCTTCTCTCTATACTTTGGTTTCATATGCGTTTAGAGTTGGGTCGATGCGAACTTGAATATATGCCCAAAAGATGTGATGTATGAATATGAAGCATCGAAGCATATCAATCAAGAAACTTTCTGTTACGTGTAATGCACGATTTGTATTTCTGTAGCGTGCAATGCACGATTTTCTGTAGCTGTAGAAAATCATTTTCCTACACAAAATATTAATAATAAAACTATATGCATTGGTGGTTTTTCACCAAATTTCGTAACATAAAATAAAGTTAGAAAAAGAGAAGAGAAAGAATAGAGAAAGTGACTATGAAAAATTTATGAAAGACTCGTTTTATATGTTGTTTTAAAATTTATTTATAATTTAAAATTAAATAATTCAATTTATTAATATTTAAATTATAATGCAGATGCTCTAATCTATCCATCATCTGAAAATATATAAAAAAAAGAAATACGAACACACAGAAGTGAGCTAGACAAATATTTAACAAAAGGATCCAAAGATGTTAAGTACAATCAAAGATGGATAATAGAAAAATAATAAAACTAAATCCGCAAAAGATTAGAGATCGTTAAGCATTTTCTTTTTAACTATAATCTAAATTCAAAAATGAAAGATACGTTTAGGATAAGGTTCAAAAAAAAAAAAAGGAAAGCTAAATATACTTGAAAAGGAAACAACGTAAATAAAATTCCGAAAAGAACAAGGATTAGGGATCGCAAAAGCAGCATTATATAAAGTGATAGGGTAGATTCTCGTTGTTTCTATACCATCAACACTTGCCTCTTTGTATCTCTCTCTCACATTCATCTTCCTTGATCTCGAAACCTTTCTTGTTCGCTTCTGAGTTTGTTCAAGAGCTTTCTTCTTCTTCTTTCGTGAATACCTTGGAATCATGGCGACAACAACAACGAAGAAAATCAACAACACCATGCTCTTTGGCTTCGTACTCGTCATAACAATTCTCTTGGGTTGCTGCTCGGCGACGATCTACAAAGTGGGAGACTCCGATGGATGGACGACGAAGGACGACGTGTATAACAGTTGGGCCGAGCGTAAGGAATTCCACGTCGGTGATTCACTCTTCCTTTAGCAAACCCTCTTCCGTATTCACGTCGTTCAATTAACCCTTAACCAATCTTCCTTTAAGCGGTTTGCCTTTAAACCAGCTAAACCGTATCCCAATTCCAATTTGTTGAATCAATTTTTCAACAATAATATTGTTGTTTTGATTCGTATACATATAATGAATAATTTATCCTTTTTTTTTTTCTGCTATCCTTTTTCTATATATTAAGCACACGTATAAGGAATTTGGAATCTTTGTTGCATGGTTTCAAGATTAATGCTTATTAATCTTGAATCTCTCTATCGCGTATTATCTACGATAAGTGTATTTACTCGATTCCATAAATGTTAGGGCCAAAAAGAGACATAACAAAAAGCATCCACTTGGCTCCTGTAATATATATATAGCTATATACTTACAAGTCTCCATTAAAAAGAATCAGTTTCATATCAATTTGCTGCTTCGTTACGACAATGTCACGACCTGTATCCACTGAAGGTAAACAAATATAACTTTGTTAAAGCATTTGGTACCATAGTCTCTCTTTATCATCAGTTATAACTTCTAAAAGTGTTTTATTTTCTCCTTTTCACAGTAATGTTGGGAGCGTTAAAAGAAAAATACAAAACATCTCACTTCTTCAAGATAGACAATTTCTCTCTAACAGAAAGCATATCAGCAGAGTCGAATCCTCTCCCTTTTATCTCGGTGGTCACAAATGGTGGGTTGTTTTTATGTTTCTATCTTCTTACCATCTCCGATGCATTTTGCTATTTTTTCTTCTAAAGTAGAAATTTTTTAAAATAAAAGTATATTTCTTTCCAATTCATCTCTATTTTAGAAAAATATACTTTTATTTTAAAAGAAAATATAGAGATACCTATTTTTTCCTTTATATTTGGAGGAAAAAATAGCATCTCCATTTTTTTTTCTCTAAAATAGAGGTGAATTGGAGAACAAAAATGACATTATAAATTAATACTCGATAAATTAATAATTATTATAAATTAATAAATTTTTCTGGTTTTAAATCGGGCCAGTGTAAAAATTAATAAATTTCGATAAAATATAAAATAATAATTTTTTTTGAAACTCCTATGTAAAAATATGGTCTCAATAATTCATTAAAAATTAATAATTATATATTTAAACATATATAGATGATATAATAGAGTAAAATATAATTATATTATTATTTCAAATTTATAAATATTGTTTGACTTATTTTTTAAATTCATTGATACAATATTTTTTGAATAAATTTTACAATGTTAAAAATATTTTTTTTGTCTTTTGACAAACATTTAGGATTTGAACCAGAATATCTCTCTAGAAATTAATAATTTATCGATTAATTAATAATTTTTTGAAGTCTCAACATTATTAATTTATAGAGATTTTACTGTACACAACTTACAATTAATCTAATTAATTTCTCTCTGTGTGTTCTTGACTTGGTATGAAAACAGGAAACTCTTGGTATACTCAAATGGGTATGGGGGTGGTAAGAACCATGTCGCCATCGTCGTAGAGAAACAAGCTTCAATAAATGTCAACCTTCAAATTGAGTTATTTGTCATCAATCAACTACAGCCAACATGGCATTCAAAAGGTCCTCTCTCTCTCTCTCTCTCTCTCTCTGTACCTGTGTGTGTCTATGTTTCTTTTTGGTCGATGTTGATGTGTTTTGTGTGCAGGAACAATGGCCTTACCATCAGACTTGAAATGGAAAGGGGATTCAGATTTGATAACTCATGCCGATCTTGAGACAAAAGGTTACCATATTGGAGACTGTTGCATATTTGGTGTCAGGTTCATTGGGATTCAACCAGCAGAATCCGGAACAGCGGAATGTTTTGACTTAATCGAGAAGCCTCTCAATCACAAAGTCACGTGGATGATGACCAAGTTCTCGTCCTTGGAGCCTGAAAACGTTCACAGCTCTAATGAATTTGTCGTTGGAAACCGCAAATGGTGATCAGTTCAAAAACGCCTTCTTCCATGCAACGTACACCTTATCATAAAATGCATCACATATTCTAAAAAGTTGCATATTGTGTTTGTTGTTGGATCAGGAGAATTCAAGTTCACCCGCGAGGGTTTAAAGAGGGAAAAGACAAATCTTTCTCTGTGTATCTGTCGGGAGAAGGGTTTATCAACAATGTGCCAAGGTCAAATACTTTCGCAATATTTAAACTGCGGGTACTGGATCAAGTTAACCGAGATCATCTTGAGAAAACATGTACGTTAATCAAAACTCCATAATCTTTTGTTGCAAGTATAGCTACACCTTTTAAAAGCTAATTGTGATGGTAAAAACGTTATTATATGTTCACTTTGTAGATTCGGGTTGGCTTGGTGAAGAGCCTGATGTCAACCATGGTTTTGCGGATTTCATGCCTCTCAAGAGTCTTGATAAACCTTATTTGGTGAACGATAAGTTCTATGTGGGAGTTGAGTTTGAAGTCATTTCTGTGACTAATTCTTGTTAGCTTAGCTTCTTGGCTATAATAAGTCTTTAAGTGAAACCTAAAGTAACAAGATAACATATATAAATGATGTATGAAGAGCTCACATAAGGGAGCTCTACTCTTTCTCTTTGTTACCGATCAATGTAGGAATTTATGGTTCCATCTTTTTTTATTAATAAATGACAAATTGAAGCAAAGAAAACAAAGGCAGATCGATATTTCTTCAATTAAAAAAGTATTTTGTTCACAATTATATCATGTTGAGAAAAACATGTTTGATATTTATTGAGAATACTTTTAAGAATTAGAGAAAAGTCTTTTGATGGTAGAATTCGGATTGACTTGGTGCAAAACCTGATGACCATGAATCCACAATTTGATAAACTCAAAGTAGTGGTTGTGGTTGCACCAATACGTAAATAGTAATGTTCCCAAGTTGTCATCTATCAACCGTCTTACAAGATGGTTCAGAAACGCCATGATCGATCAGTAAGCATTAGGATCAACCACTCAAGCATATATGTATGCTACCTTCTTTTGGATTTGGTTTTGACTTTTGAGATTAGCTTGCTAGTTACTTAAGAGTGTCTTTAGTTACGTAGTTTAGTAGTTTAAATTAGTGTCTTTTCTTTTATATTGTTTGTTTCTTTAAGAATCTGTGTCTTTCTTGTAGTTCTTATTTCCACTGCTGGTGTATAATATTAGAATCTGTTAATAATGAAATTTTTTATTCCAACGTTCCTACTTACTATGAGCATTATGAGAATGCCCTAAAACAAGAATATATGACTTTTGGACGACACATCTCCGCCTTAACCACACCACAGCTCAAACACAACGACCTTGTTTGCAAATTTGATCAGTCCATAAAAAGTTAAACTCGATTTTTTCTTTCTCTAATATGTTTCAAGCTTTACGTTCTTTTAGTGTTGTTTTTTTTTTTTTTTTGCAGTGCATAATAACAACTTTTTTTTTGGTATTATTCCCTCTTTTTAAAAATCAAGCAAAGAAATTTGGAATTTTTGTTGGAGATAAGGTCGGTTGTACAAATGTGATATATTCCCAAACGATGCGATCATGAATACTGCTTGTCGTTCTCGAATCTTTTGATACCACGAAATCCACAATGGGTGATTTTATTCTACATTTCGATAAATGTTGGGGATGAAACAGAGAGAAATAAGAAAAACATTCACTAGCTAGCTCTTGTCCTGTATATATATATAGCTATATATACAGTACTAATTTCAGCTCACACACATCTACAGTCTCCATCTAAAAAGAAAGAATCAGTTTCATATCATTTGCAGCAGCTTGTCACAATGTCACGACCAATACCTGTTGAACGTAATCAAAAACATATAATTTTTTGAGTCTCTCTCTCTATTACCAATTTGAAGTTCTTAATTATTATTATTATTATTCTCTTCCTTTTTCACAGAAATGGTGAAAGAGTTCAAATCACGTCACACAACATCCCACTTGTCCAAGATAGATAATTTCTCTCTACTCAAAAAGCATAACGTCAAAATGGTCGAATCCTCTGTTTTCACCCTTGGTGGTTACAAATGGTGAGAGCTTTCTGATCTTCTTATGCGTTTGACAAGTCTAACATACAACTAAAAGAAAAAAAAACTAAATAAAGCTCCATGTTTCTTGACTTTGCATGAAAACAGGAAACTCATTGTGTACCCAAATGGGAAGAATGACAATGGTTATGTCTCTATCTTCTTAGTGAACCAGGTTTCAGTAAATGCTAAGCTCCAGTTCCATCTCTTTGTCATCAGTCAGCTAAGGCAAACATGGCAATCTTCTGGTCTCTCTCTCTCTCTCTCTCTCTCTCTCTCTCTCTCTCTCTCTACATATAAGTGTGTATGGCGTCGAAGTTGATGCGTTATTGGTGCAGGAACAATGGACTTTGGTATATCTTCAACATCTCAAACGAGAGGAGCTTTAAACTTGACACCAGTGGCTGATCTTAGGAAAAATGGGTATCTTATTGAAGATTGCTGTATACTTGGTGTCGAGTTTTACAGGATTGGAAACCCTAAATCGGGAACAGCAGAATGTTTAAGCTTAATAGAGAAGCCTCATAACCACAGAGTCACGTGGAAGATGACCAGGTTCTCGTCTTTCGAGCCTGAAAAGATTCATTTTTCTGATGACTTTATCGTTGGAAGCCGAAGATGGTGATCACTTCTAATCTCATTTTAATTAATTTCCTTCATGTTAATTAAAATATATATATATGTGCATATGCATGCATGCATTTTTATACTGTGTGTTGAGTGTTTTGATCAGGAGGATTAAAGTTCATCCAAGAAAAGACAAACCTTTTTCTGTGTATCTGTCGGGAGAAGAGTTTATAAACAATGTTCCAAGGACAAATACTTTCGCCAAGTTTAAGCTACGGGTACTGGATCAAGTTAAACGGAAGCATCTTGAGAAAACATGTATGGATGTTTCTTGAGAAACACTCTTTTATAATTAGCTCTTTTTTTTTTGAAATTCTTGATTAAAAACTCTTATTCTATTTGTGTGCTGTAGATTCGGGTTGGATTGGTGCAGAACCTGATGAGTCCCATGGTTTTGCGGATTTCATGCCTTTCAAGAGTCTTGATACACCTTTTTTGGTGAAGGATCATTTCTATGTGGGAGTTGACTTTGAACTCATTTCTATAACTAAGCTTTTATAAATGTATGTGTAACACTGAAACAGCAAGAAGTGTTGTAATGTAATGAATAAATAGGAAGCTTAGCTTGCACACACACAAAGCAAGCTTAGCTTCTTGGATTTAATACGTCGTTTGTATTAAAATAGCAAAGAAGTGATATTTTGTGTGAATAAGATTATGGATAGTATTGGAATTAGATAAACTTCTTGTTATTCTTCAAGAACCAATCTTATATTTTTTTTTTCTTAAGTTCGGATCATAATTGTCATCACATCTATTATGACTTCCTACGGACCAATTGATAAGAAGATACAAAAATCACATTCATTCACTGTTTGTGTTTATTCAGAAGGAAACTTATCCTTTCACAATTAGTTTTGCTGAACATCTCATCAACACCTAGCGAAATTTGAACATTAGCTCATCTTATTACTTTTTTTTTGTTAGTGTATACATCAAGGTCTGTAAAGTTACTGCTCACTAATTTTCCTAATTACAAGTTTACAACACAAAACTCTCTAGTCCTTCCTTCATACCAATCAAACTGAAGCTTCCTTTACCATCTGCTCGTCTTGTCCTTTCCTAAACCTGAAACAATCATACAAATTTAGTATTAAGCATCATTGTGTTAGGGAACCTAATCATGATAATCCCATTTACCAAAAGAAAAAATGAAAAGACTTACCAAGTCTTGGCCGAAAAATGGATCCTTTCGCTTTTAATTTTTTACTCAGTCCACTTTGGGATGGTTTTGAGTCTTTACCGCTACTCTCTCCCGGCGTAAAACCGGAGACTCTGCTCACTTTTTCGTGGTACACAGCGGGAGGTGAAAGCCTTAACCGAGGCAAGCTCTCTATCTGTACCAATCTCTGATCTTTCTGAAGGTTGCTTAGGATTTCAAACTGCAGCAATCAACAGTGCAAACAAGCTTTTTGTTAAACTCCAATGAGGTTTTCAGGTTATAGAGTATTAGTTCTAGAATTTTAGAAACATTCTTACCCGTGAGATTTGCTGGTTATGAGAGTGATCGGTCATTTCATTCTCGTGTGAGTAAGGCGAAGCGCGTTGTGAAGTCCCCGTGTTTGACGAAACAGTGCTTATCAGACCATAATCTAGGTAGAATGATTTACCTTTAGAAGAGCTTTGTGTGGTCTTCTTGGTCATACAAACAGGACAGCCTGATGATGAGACGTGAATTGATGATGATGATGACGACGACGTCTCATTCTCTGACGGTTCGCATTGAATATGTGTTGCGTGGCCACAGTTGAAAACACGTACACGAAGAACAGAGAATGTCTTGGTGAGAGGACAATTGCATATACAACACAGCAAACTCCTGGGTGCGTACCCGTGGGAAGCACCTTTCTTGAGTAAGCTCATGGTGTAGAATGTATCATCTTCGATTAAGGACTTTGCAGTATCCTGTCACGAGCAAGAGAAAAGTTTTAGATAACACTTAAAAGAGAGATTACATGATTAGAGAGACGCAGGTATATACCAGTATTCTCCGTTCGAAGCCATACGTTGCAAGCATTCCCAATATTGTGAGTTTAAAATCACCAAACTCTTGAGTACCGTTGTCAGAAAGAAGTTTTGACATGATTGCTGGAAGACGAACATATCCTATCATTCCTTCAACAATCTCTTTTATAAACTGAGATATGAGCTTCCTCAGGATGTGTGTACTCGCCGTATCAGATCTTGGAATCCTCCACTTGATTGTATCGACTGTTTCATCTACAGACAGTTCCAATGATTTAACACCAACAGGAGCTTTTTTTATTTCATTGACATTCCTCTGTTCCTGATATGAATCCATCGAAGGTTTACAGAAACTGCGTGGAGCATGACGGGACAAAAAAAAAATGATCATCAGACACTCGCTCGGGCTTCTTAACTCCAACATGATTTTGATTGAAAGTGATGAGCAATGGATTAAAAGTGATCAGATGTGTGTGTCAGGCTTACGTGTCAAGAAAGCGAAACCAAAGAATCTCCGACTCCTCAGGATTTAGGCGAGGAGTGTTGCGTTGACACAATCCTATACAGGCTTGCAGAACACCTTGTATGTCATGTACCTGAAGGATCAGAAAGAGCATGAGAGAGCCATATAAAGCACATTTTTTTCTTATTGAAAAGAAATGTACGGACCTCCTTCAACTCTAGAGCACTACTGAAATGTTCCAAAGTGGCTCCTTCGCTAGCACCCAACTTCAGTTCTGACACTAGGGATGCTACCGCATTTTCAAGTTCGACAAAGTTTTCGTTGAGTCCAGAGAGTGTAAGTGACAAAGCACTTGCTGCATCACCGACCCTCTCCAAGAGAAATGCTGCTGCATCTACAATTCCATATTCCTGGCAGAGGCGTAGACAGTGTTCCACTCTGTAGCTATCAAAGGTTTCCAGGAATCTCAAGACCGACTTCGGTTCGTACTTGCATAATAGCTGTAAAATTACACACAGAATCATCAGCACTGAAACCATTGGATGATACCAAATGATCCCAAGGAGCCACTAGAAAAATCAAAAGAGGCATAGCTAACAAGCATATCACGTTTCCAGGAAAAATAAACCAAACAAATATATGCAATGGGATTTCAATCTTGCAAATTCTGAAAAACGAATATTTGAAAGAGCTATGACATTTGACAGATGGCGATGAAAGAGGGAAATGATACTTTGGTAGAGACCTAAGACCTGTTGATTACTAGATTCGTCTTGCTGGTTTCAATAATTACAGTCACAAAACCCAAAAAAAAAATATTTGCGGGGGAGCTAATTAAAGAATGCAGTTGACTAAAAAGATAAGAAAAAATCGAGACTGCAAAAGAGATAAGTTTTCATAAGTGATTTACCTCCAAATAAAGCTCAATCATGTCATCAGTCACATTAACTGGATTATCTTGGATGAATTTGGGAAAGTCATTAAGTCCCTCCAAAAAACTGTCTACCTCTTTGGGTATATCCCTTCTAATGTTTTCTCCCGAACTATCCACAGCTTCATGTTTTCTTAGACGACAAAAATCAAGACTCCCAGACAAGTGAACCTCAATGACAGTCTTGAGATAAAGGAACAAGCTTCTTGGATGAGAATGGAGCTGCTCTTGAATGCGTGAAATGTTGTCTTTCAGATTATCAATAATCAAGAAGAATGTTCCCTCTCTGCAAAATGCCAGACATTCGATATTATATGATTCTATCATTCCACTAGACTTAATTAATCAAGACATAATAGAATCCACCTAAAGTTTACCTGCTCAATTCAAGGAGCTCGGGAATCCTAGAAATTATTGCGGATTGAAAAGCAGTGAGTTCATCCCCACTCAACTGTGACAGCATCTTGTTCACGTAGCAAAACGAGTGTATGGGTTCATCTGCCTCTTTCATGTAGCTTTCTAAAGCAGCAACGTATCGTCGACCAATGGTATGAATATAGCCACAGACCTGGAAGTTGGAAACCATAAACAGACATGAAGGAGAAAATCCCAAAGTGAGCATTGCAAGCACGCTACAGAGGAATGATGAATGTCTACCAAGACGATACCTGATAAAAATGTGCTGTCTCACAAAGCTGAGATACATACGCTACATCCCAGTCAGTCTCCGGTACAGCTTTCAGAAGGTTTAGTAATTGGTTCTCTCTCATTTTAGGAGACACGTTATATGTCGGAAGTATGTGATCTGATGTTAAGTAGTCTAAAATGTGTGCCAATACGCTCTTAGGAATACTAACTCTGCCACGTGCTGCATAATATGCAACAAACTCAAATAAGTGACTCGTATCCTCCTTGGAAGGCCAATTTTTCTCTGATTTTGAACCATCTGAATCGCCAGATTCATCAGGTTGACTTGACCCCGCATCAAAAACATGAACTAGAGCATCTATCAGATTCTGGATCAACAAATCGTTACATCTAACTTCGGGCATAGTACCATCAGTCTTGGACTCTAAACTTACTTCACCGGACTCCAGTAGACGATTCTCATGATTCGCCATTTCATTTTCTGAAAATGCATATCTTAGGACATCTAAGGTGGCTTCAGTATCCATCTCTAGCAGGTGGTAGAGGTTCAAGTAAATCCGTTGAGATGTTTCACATGTACTAGAATCATAGGCGTTTGATTTCTCCAGTAGAAACTGAATCAGTTCAGTCCTAAGGGATGGCAAGCGTGTAGGAATCAGAGTTCCATGTCCTGCAGATGAAACAAAAAAATAACATTAAGCTCGTGAGAGGAAGATACCTATATAAGTTTATAGGTTATCAGGATACCATACTCAATCGACTGCAGATCATAACATGCAGCGAATCCTACCTGGTGGAAAAGCCAAACCAAGAAAGCAGTACTTTAGATAAACAAGCATCCGGTACCTGAATAGGCAAGAGATGTAAAAAAACTCATTACTAAAGCGGATGAAAACTATACGTTTGTATAGACACCAAATTTGATTGTGTCATACAACAAAGATTGCAATTAGCTATATGCATAGGTGTGTTCTAGGATTAGTGTCATGTAAGATGGACCTTCTAAATTTTAGGTTTTTCCTCTAGTCCATAACCAAACAAACGACGAGGGGACTCTCAAGTTCAGTTTTGCACGTGACGTTTTATTAGCCAGAACAAAGTGCAACGACTTCACATAACATACCCAATGGCTGTAGCTCTTTGTCTCTCACTGTTCCGTAAGACAATCAAGAGTTCCTCTAGAGGTGACTTGAAATCATCCAACCCTTTGTTGAAAAGATACAGCAAGGCCCCATAAAGCCCATGCTCACGGCAAATTCTGACAACCTAAGTGCCGATGAGGAGAATGTCAATATTCAACCATGATACAACATCAACAACTTACTGAAGAAAAAGACCAAACAGAACACGCGAAATTGTCGGCAAAACGTGACCTGATTGAAATCTAAGGAAGAAATATCCATGTGAAGAACACACTGCTCAATTCTTTGTAGCCATCCTTTTCTACTATAATGTTCTACCAGTGCTTGCATAATCTGAGATGAAACAAAAAAAAAATCATATAATATAGACCACGAAACTCTTGAGAAAATAATTTATAGTTGCACAAAAGATACCTCTGGAGGAAGAGATCCAAGCATATCCTTTAATATATAAGGCTCCAAAAGCTCCAAAAAAGTATCTAGACAAACCAAAAATAGTTGCCGCAATGAATAAGGAGAAATCATAATGTCTCATCAAGCGATTAAATCAAAATGTGCGCAAAAAGAACAGCAGAGTCCAAAGCACGTGTATGCTGCACTATCATCCCCTAATAGGATATCTCACCAGATAACTTCAGGATATCAAAGTATAAGTGTATAACAATTAGCATTGCACTCTATCCATCTGAAAACCGTTATATTGTTTCATTAGCAAACTATACAATTACCCTAAAGCGTTAATAGAAGACATATACTAAAAGTAATGAAAAACATATTTACAACGTGTATGTGTATGCATTATGAAAAATGGCACACGTAAGAAAAACACTAACCCAAAGGAGCTATTCCAAGACCGGTAGATAAAAGGTCTTTAAATATTTAAGCAAAGAAAGAAACAGAACCAGACAACCTATAAGAAACTACTCATAATCCTAATGTAGTAAACATCTTTGAAACATTTGTATAGTTGGAATGATGCTGAAACCCGCTCCTTAATCAAAAGTAGTACCAAATAAATATACATAGAGATCTGAAAGATATACCTCTTTGTTGTACAGCCACAAATCTGGAAAATATTTCATCGAAGAGCAAATCCATCCTGTTAATATGAACACAGAATTCAACGGCAACACCACCAACACGATTGTATTGCTCTTCTATCTCTAAATTGGCATTCTTGGTTTCACTGCTTGGCTCATCAGTTACTCCATTTTTACCAATCTGGTTGGAAAATGCAATTGAGATATAAGAAAATACTTCATCTACATAGGAAAGTAGCAACTCTGCTAAACTGGGTGCTATGGCTTCTCTAATGGCGTCCACAGTTTTGGGGAGGTCAACAACCCCATGAGCTTGCCCATTAAAAAGTGACATGGCCATGTTAAACGCCCCCATCCAATCACCTCCTCTCCTTAAAACATCAACCCGCTCCTTCCAAGGCAAAAGTCTGGAGATGACAAGATGAGCAGTCCCGAGAATGTATACGGAAGCCCCTCTGACACCCACAGAGTTGTGATAAGCTTTCTCAGGATTTCCAAAGACATTCGTAAAGTACGTATGATAGGAAATCAGGTCATTCCCTGAAGAACCACCCACAGAAAAGTTTGTCTGGTGAATTACCACACCATCTCTTGTGAACAGATACAAATGGCCCGTCACAGTTGGGATCACCAGCAACTGAATATGCAGAGAAAGCAAAGAACTCATGTGTCAAATAATTGTATCTACATCAATTCATATCCATTATTAGATGCTACTCTATTAGAATCTGTATTTGCTTGTAAATATATTTATATCCGTATACACACCTGGTCATCCAGCCAAACCACACCAATAGCTGCACTGTCAAGTGACCATCTGGCATATTCCTTTAGGTCTGATTTTACCAACTTGGCAACCTGAACTCTCCGATCCCAGGCAATGGCAAGAAAAGAAACCCGATCTTCTGCCTCCTTAGAAGAGTTTTCTGCAAAATTTCACTTAAACAAGATTCAGCAAAACAGTACAAGCAAAGTACGCAGTTTTACTGGGAGAAGAATCATGATTACCCATTGAGCATTTCCAGGCAGTGTATGGCATGGAACCCTCCCGAACCCCTTCAGGCCTAGGAAGTTGTGCATACACCTCCAAATCTGGAATGAGTTTTACCTGTAGAAAACAGAAGAGGGTCATTTCCAGAAGCGTAATCAGTAAAGTCAAGATGAAAAAGATATCTGGAATCCTTACCACCAGTCCAGTTTGATAGGTGGCAAATATAACAACCCCTTCTTCCACCGCAGATGAATCCTCATTAAAGAGCTTCCAACTTGAATCAACCCCAACAACACCTCCCATCATGCTACTTATACTGCTGGATGGAACTGCAGTGTTACCCGCCTTAGAAGAGGACACAGAGCTTCCAAATATTTCATCAGGCAGAGGTGACGCCGAGAGAACCGTTCCATTTTTTTGTCCATCGAGAAGGCACTGATACAATCAAAATAAGGCGTACAAACCCCATTCCCCAAAATTCAGTAAGGCTGAATAAGACACCAGTAGAAAACAGACACAAAGTCACAAGCAAACAAGCCTTCACAAAATACTTAAATTTACCTGCGTTTTAACTGAATACATGTTCAACAGCAGAGTCCAAGAGAAAGAATGTTTGAAAACAACACCCTTAGTGTCACTTGTAATTGCTTTAAATTGGCGAGAACCTTGCGAATCCCGGCCTAGAAAAAACGCATATACTACTGGCGCAGTGTGTTCAGTGATCACTTTTGCTACCGACGCTCTCTGCACGTCCCAAACTGTAACATGTCCATCACCATAACCGGCTAGCAGGAGGGCCCCTTGCTGATTGAAGCAAACTGAAGTAACCGGGGACTGGGATCTTTCTCCTTGTAAACCAAGCCAAATGATCTACAATTTTGTAAACATATATGTGAATAATTTGAACCTATATCTACCCACTTAAACAAATAACCTGCAATGAACATAAGTGATGATGTATAAGATAACCTTTGATTCCATTTGATCTGCAGTATCAGAAGAATATTTACTTGGTACAACGACGATGACCCCCTTGGACGTACCCACAGCAATGAAATTCAAATGAACAGCCAAAACCTGAGGAGAGCCATGGTCTCGCTTAAATGCCTGAGATGAAATGGTTCGGGTGATAATATTGTCAGCATCAACATCAAAGTAACCTAAATTCGTCGAACCGATCTTAACACCCTCGAGTCTCATTGGCTGAGCAGCAGCCCCTTCCTCCCAATGCAACCCAGTATATGCTTGTTTCTTCTCAAACTCTTCAGCCAAGACAAGCTGCTTCCTAAAAGATCGTGACTTTAGCTTCTCTCTGTTATTTATCCTTTCTTTTTCCAACTCACTAATCCTCTCTTCTACAAGCTCTGAAATGCCAGACATTGAGCTTCCATCATCAGGAACAAAATCACCACCTGCCTCTTCTTTAGAGTCCGGTATAATCATATCTGAATCATCCTTCTTAACATCTCTAACACTTGAGTCTTCATCAGTGTTTACCTTAGCATCATCTGATTGAGAATGAGCAAAGCACTTCCCATCAGAATCATCTTTGACGTCCTCCACAGCGGCATTTCCAGATTCCGTTGTGGTCGTCGCCTCTTCTTCAGCAGAGATGGCAGTGACTAAGTCAGGCTTTGAGTTTGCCTCATAATCTAAGGTCTCAGTAATATCACTATCTTGGGATTCCCTTACTCTAGCTTCGTTCTCTTGACTTGCAAGCGCAACTCCATCATCCTCATCCTCCAGACGAGATTCTCCAGGGAGAGAACGAAAATCATCCACAGAAACGGATCCAGTAGCAACTCCAGCAGAATCGCCATTTGAAGACAAAACTTGCTGATCTTCTTCATCTTCATTCGAAACTGATTCTCCAGCGCCCAAAACCTCCTGCAGCAACTCGCTACTAGCACTACTAGCTCTCCTTGACTTGATGATAGCAGCGTGCGGTGTAGGAACCGATCTGGAAGCAGCCACAGCCGCCGCAAGCGCCGCGCCTGGCTTCACATTCGACCGCACACCTGCGAATAGCGACGGCAATGGCAATGGCAACGGTCTCGAAGAAGAAGAAGAAGACGCCGAATTTCGCCTTGTCGGATGGATTACGCGAGGAATTCCGCGAAGTATATCAGATTCAGCGGATTCGGGTCTCACCGGAACATTTGAAAGAGCTTCTGATAACCGGCGAGTCGGATCGTTTTGATTCCGCCGGTTTACTTGGTCTCTGACTAACGGCGGCGATGATGGAGGGGAAGAAGACGAAGATGAAGAGCTGGACGCGTTGAGAATTTCGTCGACTGTACGGTGAGGAACGGAGGAAGAATCTAAATCGGATTCGGAATCCGAGTCGGATACTAGGAACGAATCAAGATCGAGTTCCAAGTGCGACTTCTTCATTTCAGTTAACTTTCTAGTCCCTATAACTTCAAGTCGCCGTTTGGTTCATCGAACTCTCCGACGAACTCGACTCCGAAACATCCACCGCCGGGACTAGCTGACGTTCTAATTAATAAATTATGCTCAAACAAACGAGGCAATAAAAAAATAAATAAAAACAGAAACTTCTGAACAAAACAGAAGGTTCACTGCAATTATATCTGAACCAGTGAGTGAGGACTAAAATTTTATAAACGTGATTTTAACTGTATGAATTTTAATTTATTACCAAAAGTTTATTCCAACTAATCAAAAATCGTAAGTTATGTGTACTTGACAAGATTTTGAAGGGTTCAAATTATTCTTAGTTTTAATCCATTTAAAGATCAAATTAGCAAGTAGACTGCAAATTCTTAAAGAACGTTGCAAGCAAACACAACAGTGGAATAAATCAAGTAGAATAACTATAACATAAGATAACTCTCATTGGATGCTGAGAACGTCGTGAGCTAATTGCCAATATTGATATAGCAAATGGACCAAACAGTAGTAGTAATGTCGAAAATGTCAAAACTCAAAAAACTCAAATCAACTAAAGCAACAGAACATAAGCAAGAGTTAAAACAAGAAGACAACTAATCGAACAAGCCGAATCCAAGGTCTCCGTCACTCTCTTCTGCTGGCTCATCCTACAAAAACAATTAACAAACATGCGTATCAATAACCAAAAAAAAAACTTAGAATATAAACAGAACATTCAACGAAAATGCTTCTCTTCTTAATTATGTACCTTCTTCTCCTCCTTGGCGGGAGCAGCAGCTGCGGCTCCTCCAGCAGCGGCGGGTGCAGCGGCGGCAACTGGTGCACCGCCTCCACCGCCACCGGCACCAACATTCATGATGAGGTCAGTGACGTTACGCTTCTCAGCCATCTTGGCAAAAAGCATTGGCCAGTATGACTCAATCTCGACACCAGCAGCTTTCACCAAAGTAGCAATCTTGTCGGACTAATGACAACAAAGTTAAGGAAGCAAACAGAACCAAAACCTACTTCTTGAATTCAGATGTAATACTCAAAACTCGAAATAGACATCCTCAACGATAACTAAAAACTAACAAGTTACGTAGAGATGATTGAAAACCTAACACAAACATTCATCGTGCACGAACTAACAAACAGGACAGTGACAAACAAGAACCCTAATAGTAAACCAATAACTTACAGAAACTGTCGACATAGCATTCAAGATGTAAGCCTAACGAAAATGTTTACTTAGATTCAGGACTAGAGAATAAAAGTCACCTCTATAAACCCTAACACAACAATGAAATGACTATTCATTTCGACAAGATGATACACAGGGTTTCATGGAAGAACAGCTACTAGATGAGATCTAAAATATGTCTAAAAGTTTAAGGATACAGTGATGGCAATGCCTTCATCTTCAAGGATCATAACAGCGTAGCTGCAAGCAAGTTCTCCGACTGTCGACATTGTCTCTGCAACAAACACAATAAACAACAGATTTAAACCTCAACAAGAACAAAAATAAAAACTATCCATCGATTATAGAGCTAACGAGAAAAATCCTAAATGGATACTAAATTTACTCTAATATCTGTATCGTACGAGCGCAACTAAACCGAGGATTGGTGAGAAATCTGTAACGAAAACCCTTTTAGGAGTCAGAAATGAAGAGGATGAAGAAGTACCTTAAGACTGCGATTGGAAGACTCGGCAAATTTCTTTGGTGGCGCCGCTTGAGAGACAGATTAGGGTATGCAATGAAGCGGAGGGTTATATCTAGGGTTTGTATAAATAATGTTAAGTTCCAGGAACGTTGGGCTGATTTCTTAAAAGCCCATCTGGAAACCGTTTAGACTTTTGAATAACTTGGGCCTTCTTTTGTCTATTCGGCTTTGTATAAGTAAATAAATCAACATTTTGGTTGTAGCTTAAAAACCACCAACATTTTCACTGTTTTGCGACCACCAAAATTTTGCGTTGTGATGATGATAATTATATAAAGCAACCAAATTTTTGTTATAAAAGTATTAAAAAATATTTACATATTTTCAAGTCAATATTATTTAAAAGTATATGTATTTATGAAAAATACCATAGTTTTTTTATACGGCTAATCATTTTTGTTAGATTGATCTTGAATACTGTACCTAGACAAGAAGAGATCTCAAAAGAAAATTTAAGTCTTTCTACAAAAATAAAGCTTTAATTGCCATAAGTTTCATGAAAACTCTTAAGTTCTGAAAAATCTATCAAATATTCATTCGATCATTAACATATCATAAACATAGCACATAATCTTGATGAAATAAGAATGTTTTTTCGTTTCTCTGTCGATATCCATTAAACTTCTGTCTCTTTCTTTAATCAACCATTAAAAATAAAGATGAATTAGTTAGCTCAGCCACAAAACTTCAAGAATTAGAAAAAATATCAAATAATATAGTAGAGAATGTTTTATTATTGAACTAATTATGTAGTTGCGATCCGGAACAAACTTTCCACAAGAGCAAGAACTCAAGATCCAGAATGAAATAATAAACCATTTAATCTCTTGCATGTTTCCTAATCATATACGATGTGAACTACTAATCTTTGCAAAAGTCTGTTTCGCCATAGAATTAATCCGAACTCAATGATTCATAAAAAAAGGCGTTATGCTTTTGATAAAATATGAGTTCAAAAAATGTCTTTATTTTTCAAGCTTATTAGTAGTAAAAAATGTCTATATTTACATATAAAAAGCAAAACTGTGTGTTTTATGCTTTGCTATTATTGGGATGGATGCAATCATGCAAATAGACTTGGATGTGTGACAAATGCAAGCAGATGTACATGATATAATGTGTTTACTAATTTGGTGAAAATAAATGAAAAACAAATAAATGAAGTGGAAAGAGTCATCGCTGTCAAGGTCGCAGTTAAAGAGGCGGGTCAGAGTCAGAACTCTCCCTTAAGCAACCTCCCAAATTTATTGATACTTTCTGTTTCCCAAGATCCACCCACCACTCTCTCTCTCTCTCTCTTCTCTCTCTCTCTCTCTCTCTCTTCATCTTCCTCATCTTGCGCAAGAATCTAAACCAAATCTCATCCTCTAATGTCCTAAAACAGCAAGATGACTGTAATGTGTTGTTGACTGTTAAGTACTAATCCGACCAAATCGCCATGGGAAAGAAGAGTGGTTCTTCTTCTTCATGGTTCACCGCCGTTAAACGAGCTTTCCGATCTCCGTCCAAGAAAGAACATAACAACAACAATGCTCACGATAACGAACCCGAGGAAGACGAAGACAAGGTTCGTCTGCTTCCGTCGAGATCTTTTAGTCTTGTCTCCTCACTCTACCCCCAAATCTACTTGCTTCTGATTTGGAGAATCTTTGTTTAATACACATGCTCTGTTTTTTTTCCAGAAGAGAGAGAAGAGACGGTGGTTATTCAGGAAAACGACGAATCATAATTCTCCGGCGAAGACCTCCGGCGTTGTAAAAGACATATCCGCACCGAAATCTACGGAGACGGCAACCGATTCATCCTCTGTTACAGAACAGATATACGCCGCATCTACACCTCCCACCACCGTCTCCGCCGCATCGGAAACTTCTCCGACGAAGACGGAGTTACCAAGTTATGCGAGGAGGACTTATACGGCACGAGAAAGCCACGCAGCTACTGTGATCCAAACTGGTTTCAGAGGTTATCTGGTGAGCATATATTGTTATAATTAAAATTAGTTGATCATGTTTAATATTCTCCTAGTAATTAACATTAATTGTGATTTTGTTTAGGCAAGAAGAGCCTTAAGAGCATTAAGAGGGTTAGTGAAGCTACAAGCACTAGTGAGAGGTCACAATGTGAGAAAGCAAGCCAAAATGACATTAAGGTGTATGCAAGCTCTGGTTCGAGTCCAGTCACGTGTTCTTGACCAACGTAAACGCTTGTCTCACGACGGCAGTCGCAAATCTGCCTTCAGCGACACTCACAGTGTCCTCGAATCTCGTTATCTTCAAGACATTTCAGACAGAAGATCCATGGTAAAGATCTAGATTACTCAAAACACCATATATTGTTTGCTCTGTTTTCAGCAATTACCTAATTGGTTTTTTGTTATTAGTCAAGAGAAGGAAGTAGCATTGCTGAAGATTGGGATGAGCGACCACACACGATCGAAGAAGTGAAAGCAATGTTGCAACAAAGACGAGACACTGCGTTGAGACGAGAGAGTAACAATAGTTTATCACAAGCTTTCTCTCAACAGGTAATTTTAAAAAAAAAAAAAAAAAAAATCCCATTTTTTGATTCTTGAAAACGGCTAATCTCATTCTTTGGTTAAAGATTCGGAGAACGAGAGGGAGTCAATCTTTGGGAGACGAGGAAGAAGAGGAAGAGAGACCGAAATGGTTAGACCGATGGATGTCTTCTAAACCATGGGATAAACGAGTTTCAACGGATCATAGACCACCGGTTTACAAAACCGTGGAAATCGATACTTCTCAACCGTATTTAACCCGAGCTTATTCGAGAACCGGAGCGAGTCCAAGCCGTAACCAACAAAGGCCTAGTTCGCCATCAAGAACCAGCCATCATTACAGCCAACACAATTTCTCATCAGCTACACCGTCTCCGGCTAAATCTAGACCGATACAAATCCGGTCCGCTAGTCCACGGATTCAAAGAGATGACCGGTCAGCTTACAACTACACATCAAACACACCTAGCTTGAGATCTAACTATAGTTTCACCTCAAGAAGCGTTTATAGCGTTTGCACCGCTACTACAAATGCTACGTTGCCGAATTATATGGCGATCACGGAATCCGCGAAGGCTAGAATCCGGTCACAGAGCGCACCGAGGCAACGGCCTTTGACACCTGAGAAAGACCGTGCCGGTTCAGCTAGGAAACGGCTTTTGTTTCCGGTTCCGCCGCAGCAGCCACCAGTGGAGGTCGGAGGAGGGTATTATGGTAATAGTGACGGTCAGAGTTTAAGGAGTCCAAGTTTCAAGAGTGTAGGAGGTTCGCAAATGGGTGCATTGGAGCAACAATCAAATTACTCTTCTTGTTGCACTGAGTCACTTGGTGGTGGAGGAGAGATCTCGCCTGCTTCTACTAGCGATTATAGGAGATGGCTAAGATGATTCGAAAATCAATGGTCATGGTTTGTTTCCTCCTCATTTTTATTAAGTAGTTCGTTTTTTTTTATATATATAAATAAATTTTAATTTTGACTAAGAAAAGAACGATGACTTTTTTTTTAGCCTGTGATGCCCTAGGGGATTTGAGATTGGTGTGTAATAATAGTGTGATTTTTTGTGTGTGTGTATCTTTTGTAGCTTTTTGTATCTTATAAACAAAGACTAGAAAAATGTAATCTTCAAACTAATTGATTTCAATATAAATGTGTTGGCTTTCGTTATAAAGTTTTTTTTTTTAATTTCTCAAACACATTTTCTTTTAAATGATTGGTGATGATCTTTACTTATGATATTTTTAGTTATTGAACTTAAAAGCAATGACGAAGTTTTATAAAAAATATTAATAACAGAAAATTTATCTGACCAGCTTTTGGAATAAATTTAATGCAAAAGTGAATAATAATTTATGAAAAAATGACTATAAAAAAAGCTGCAACTTTGCAACTTGAGACACGAGCAAAGAGCATCACCCCATGTGACTTGATTCCAACACTATCAGTCTTGTCTTCGACGTTACACACAACTGCATTTCCCACCTTAGATAAATGCTTCTTAAATAAAGAAAAACAAAATAAATAAACACCATCAAGTCTATCTATCAAGTTGACCCAAATTTGCTGTATTAATAACATTACTACCATGCGATATGTGTATGATTTGTAAACAAATGAACACCAATTGAGTTCTTACAAGACAAAATGTTGAATTAAATAATTGAAGATTAGTCTGACCAATATAAAATAAAATAATAAAGAGATAATTAGAGAGGAGGGACGCGAAACAGCACGCAGTTTTCATACCCCTGAGCAAACAGCAGGGCTGGCGAATTTCGGGTGTCAAACTTGATCTCAAAAAGGCTTTATGGGGTGCACCAAAAAAAAAAAGGCTTTATGGGTATTTAGAAGCAACGGGCCTTACTAGAAATTAAATGGGCCTTAAAAAGCGTTTTTTTAGGGTTGTGAAAAGTGTGCGATACATGGGATCACAGCCCAGGAGTGGGTAAAGGGTCTTCTTTCACCGGAGATGGAGAAATAGCCGACCAGTTGAGTAAACAGTTTTCGTCGGATATCGAAGCGAAATCCCTAATTCCCCCGAAACACCAATTTCCCAATTTATCCGATTCGAAAACAAACACGGTCTGGTATGCCGAGAAAATTCTCCATCTCTGCTTTTCTTATTCATTTGTTTTGGTTGTTTCGTAGATTTCTCTCATCTTCTTCGATTTTGTTCCCTCCCTAAATTAAAAAAAAACAAAAAAACAAACAGGATAAACCCTAGTTTCTGAGCCTGTTTCGAGTTCAGATTTTCCTTTATTTCTGAGCTGAGCTGGTGAGTAATTTGCTTCTGGGTGTCGATTTACTTTGTTTCCCGTTAATGGGTTTCTGCTCGATTTTGTTTCCGCGGTGATGTGTGAGTCACGATCTCGGATTTGATTGGTTGCTTCAGCTTGATTCGTTTTCTTAATAATTTGACTGCTTTACAAGCTTGTGATTCTAACGGAAATCGGATCTGGAATCAAATTCACAAAGCTCCTCTTTTCAAAGTTTTGATTTTTATCGCATTTCCTTCCTCACCATTATACGATTGTTTCATGGCAGCAATGAACTTCAGTTTTTCTGTTTCTCTCCCACTAAAAGAACCTAAATTTAGTTTTTATTTTTAACTTTCATCTCCACTTAACATCAAACACTCTGCATATTCAGAGTAGAAAGAAAGAAAACAATAAAACAAAAAAGCTTTCTGGTGTATTGATTCCTACAGCATTTTTAAAGTATGGTTGTTGGATGAGCAGATATCATTTGCAAAAGAACCTGATGTCAGACGCTCGGGATGCTGATGACCGTGTGGATTTCGAGGAGGGTAGCTACAGTGAGATGGAGGATGAAGTGGAGGAGGAACAGGTAGAAGAATATGAAGAGGAGGAGGAAGAAGAAGAAGACGATGAAGATGATGGTGGCGGCAATCGAAATGCCGAAGACCATGATATGGAGGGTTATGGTGATAGAAAACGAGGGGATAGGGAAGAAGGTCAGGAGGAATTAGCTGAAGATGACGACAACCATATCGATATCGAGACAGCGGACGATGAAGAGAAATCAGCATCTCCTATTGATGAAGAGGAAAGGGGAAAGTATTCTCATCTTCTTTCACTTCCTCCTCATGGCTCTGAAGTTTTCATTGGTGGGCTCCCAAGGGATGTTGGGGAAGAGGACCTGAGGGATCTATGTGAAGTAATAGGCGAGATCTTTGAGGTTGGAACAGCAATGATCTTTGTGTCTAATTTAGCAGAGCATACTCTTTGTGTTTACGGCTAACTTTTTAACTTTTCTTTTTATTAGGTGAGACTGATGAAAGATAGGGACTCTGGTGAGAGTAAAGGCTATGCTTTTGTAGCTTTCAAAACAAAAGACGCTGCACAGAAGGCCATCGAGGAGTTGCACAGTAAAGAGTTTAAGGTAATCTCAACCGCTAAGCGCCAACTGTAGCTTAACTTGTTCACATTGTTCTTGCAACTACTTCTGTTTAAACCCATGTCTAACTTTTTTACAGGGCAAAACCATGAGATGCTCCCTTTCTGAAACTAAGAACAGATTATTTATTGGTAACATCCCAAAGAGCTGGACTGAGGATGAGTTTAGAAAAGTCGTAGAGGATGTTGGTCCTGGAGTGGAGAACATCGAGCTCATAAAAGTAAATAGATTTAAGCAATTTGATTGTCATGGACTCATGGCCCATGGATGATCTATGCTTAATCGCCATACTAATTATCTTCTTGTTGGTGCCTGCAGGACCCAACAAACTCCACTCGTAACCGTGGATTTGCATTTGTTTTATACTATAACAATGCATGTGCTGATCATTCAAGACAGAAGATGATAGATTCTAATTTTAAGCTTGAGGGTAACGCTCCAACTGTGACTTGGGCAGACCCTAAAAGCTCTCCTGAGCATTCAGCTGCTGCTGCTCAGGTAATTGTTACATAGAAGGTTTGGTTTAGACTATCTGCACAGAATCCCCTCTCTAGCAGTTTTTTTGACAATCTCTTCTGCGGTAATTACACAGGTGAAAGCTCTTTATGTGAAGAATATTCCAGAGAATACCTCAACAGAGCAACTGAAAGAACTCTTTCAGAGGCATGGAGAAGTGACTAAAATCGTCACACCTCCTGGAAAAGGTGGAAAACGTGATTTTGGATTTGTCCACTATGCTGAAAGGTCTAGTGCACTGAAGGCTGTCAAAGATTCCGAGAGATATGAAATCAACGGTAAGTTTTTTCTTTTAACTCATTCCAGAAGACAGTTATCAAGTAGCAGCATGAACGTTATGTTTATTGAGTAACAAAACCAACAAACTTGCAAACTACAGGTCAACCGCTAGAAGTTGTACTTGCTAAACCCCAGGCTGAGAGGAAACATGACCCTTCTTATTCTTACGGTGCTGCACCGGCTCCTGCTCCCTTTACGCACCCCACGTTTGGTGGTTTTGCTGCGGCTCCTTACGGTGCTATGGGTTCCGGTTTGAGTATTGCCGGTAGCTTTAATCAGGTATATATATATGTTTCCAAGAAAAGATCTGATTGTCATCTCCAAAAAGTCGTCTTTATCAGCAATTCTTGGTATGAACTTGGGTTTAATATTTGGATTTGAACACAGCCAATGATCTATGGTAGAGGAGCAATGCCAACAGGGATGCAAATGGTTCCAATGCTTCTTCCCGATGGCCGAGTTGGCTATGTCCTGTAAGTCAGACTGTTCTTGCAACCAAAGTTTGGATTGCGGTTTCTTGCTTTCTGTATTTCAAGAAATTAAAAAACCGATATGGGTTATTATATGATTATGCAGGCAACAGCCTGGAATGCAGATGGCACCACCACCACGACCCAGAAGGGTTGACCGGAATAACGGCTCGAGCGGAGGGTCAGGGCGAGAGAGCAGTCATGATCATGATGGTAGCCGTGGAGGCCGAAGGTACCGGCCCTATTAGCCAGCCCCAGCTATAGTAAAAGAAGCAAGTAGAACAAAAAAGCAAAATGAGAAACTGTATTTGGAATTTGTTTGTAGTTTGTTTCTTTTGATGAGAACTTTAAAAAGCTCTCTCTTTCTCATGTGTTATAAATGTGAAATCGAAACCTTGCGGTTTCTAGTTTGATAAGCAGATTGATGAGGAGATAGGGTTGACTGATATGATCTTACTCTCTTAAATTATGAGACTTTTTTTATCAGTTTCTCTTCTGAATAATTCTCTTCTCAGTACTTTATTTAACGAATTCGTAGAGTCAACGTCAAGTGATCCTTCTCGCATTTTTCAACTACTTTTAAAAGTCAATAGTGAATCGATAATGGCGGATCCTTTACATATCTTTGACTAAGTTATCGCTGGTTCTAAACGGAATAGGTGAAAGAACATCAAATCATTAAGGGAAACACAACATGTCAAGTAACGAACTCAGACTTTAAACAAGATGGTATAGTTGATGTTGGTATGTAGTATACAAATGAATCAAATCAATTTTCACTATCACAATGTGCTATCAGAATACATTTTGACAGAGTTAACTACAATGGAGGGAAAGTTGCGACGATGTTTGATTGATTCTTGGTTTCAATCAAGGGTTGATGTCAGAACGAGTCGGAAACTCAAGGCCTTTGAGTGAAGTTATGCTATGGAGATCATCTTTAGAGTACAATGGGAGGAGCCAAAACGCTTTCTTCTTCCCAAAAACCTTCACCACAAGAAAAACAGCAACATATGAAAAGAGTTTTTTAATCAATTTAACCAAGAACTTCAATGTAATCATGAAAACAAAAGGATCAACTCACCTGCTCGAAGTTTTTCTTCTTTCCTAAGTCATATTTCCATCTGACATCTCCATTTTTCTCATGAACCTAAACACAAGACGATGATTCAGAGAAGAGAATCGCATGTTCAGGCTTTATATCTGTTTGTAGAAGCCAGCCATTATAATAAAGTTACCTCGACTGAAGTAGTGTTTGTTGAGAGAAGAGAGACATGCATGACTACGAAACAGAGAAGGCTGAGAACGAATGCTAAGTTAAGAACTGCATCAAGGGGACAGAATCTGTAAGAAACATAGAGACAGAACATGAGAAAAGAAAGCTAAGCACTTTCTTGGAAATAAGAACCTTATTACACTCACCAAATGCCAGAACGAGTGAGGCCAGTTTGCCAGGAGAGGAAGAATGCTTCATAGCTTCGCTGAAGAATTTGATAAAACTTGGAAGCAATACTACAACGTCCAACAATGTCTCGAGAAAAGTATACAACTACAAAACGAAAGAAATCACCAACATTGAGTTACACACACCAAACATATTTCACTGGAAAAGGGTGTTTTTTCAATTACCAGAAAGAGAAGGAAAAACTTGTAATTACGCGCTCCAACACAATTAACAATCCAAACACAGTGATGATCCATCTTAAGAACACACCTTTGACCTGCAAAAGAAAACAAGAACTATGTAAAGCTTTCATTTTTTTATCACTAGAAACAATACATTGAGGCATTTATATACTATACTAAAGCAGAACATAGTATATTAAACAATTCGGGTTTCGCCTTACAAACAGAACAATGATGGCAACGAGGCGGCTTAACATTCCGGCATTTGGGACAGTAACCAAAAGCTCCTGGATCTGTCGAAGCAGCAGCCTCCAAGTTATCACCCTCGAGCTCTCTTCTGAGATGCTCAGGAACAGAACCTGGGTCCGTGAAAACTACAGTCAAGTAGCTCCACAGGAGCATTATCAACTGCAAGCAAGCATCATCTCATTAGAATGTTTATAACATTTTGTAAATCTACTAAAAGTTAGACATTCTATAGCAATTCATGGCCTTTACTATGATTTATATGTGGCTGATAATTTCACTGCATTTCTCATTCTCTTGGCTACAAAGGTTTCTCGTAATTTTACAGTTTGGGGGTTAAGCAACAAAACCCTAGAACTTCAATTTTCAGAAACGAAACCTAATTTGAAACGATAAGACTTGAGATTACCAGGAAGTGGAAAACGAAGACGATTAAGCAGGCGAGAGCTGAGAGAGCTCCATGGCCGCTTTCGATTAAAATCGGCCACCATGTGTTAACTACGACGGCGTAATAAGATACGGCGACGAGGGCAGCGACGAGAAGGATCATGAAATAGCCGAGGACTTTCAGACCGGAGCAGAACCGGAAAAGGTTCATCTCCAGCCGGGTCAAAGGGATAATCGGGGAAGGTCTTCGGGTCCGAGCCGGAAATAACCGCCGTAAGATATCCGAAGCCACGGTTATAAGATTTCTCAGGGATCGGAGTTTGCTTGGTTCGGAGGACGACGGTTGATTCTATCGTCGTCGAGGTGGAGCTATAGTGTTCGTTAATCGTTACCGATTTAGTATAACCCTCTTGTTGACATAGAAGCTTCTCAAGCCCATTCCTATCATAATTTAATGGGCCTGAAATTACCGGCCCATGTGTGGTTTGTTTAACTCGTCCACGTGTACCATTCGGTGGGGAGACAATTTAATTTTTTGGGGACTTTTTTGTCTAAAAATTTCCGAGAAACCTCTCGTCGGCGAAATTCAAACGAGGCAAAAGTCTTAAATGTCAGGATAATCCAAAATATTCGTTGAATATTATTGCATCATTGTTTTTGCATTGGGCTCTCAAAGACTTTATCACTTTGATTTATTGATTTTTTCCGTTTGGGAAGGTCGAATTTGGGAGAGACGACGATTACTTAGGGTTTCACTGTTTCAGTAGATTATCCGAAAGCGGTGAATAAAAAGATGCAGCAATCTCCACAGATGATTCCGATGGTTCCTTCGTTTCCGCCGACCAACATCACCACCGAACAGATCCAAAAGGTTTTTTACCTTTACTTTCTCAGTTCTGTCTTTTGGTTTTCAGTCATATTTCTGGTTATGGCAGCGTTGAAATGGTTTGTAACTATGTGTTTAAATTATAAACTGTCATATTATGAAAATTAAGTTTGTTGTAGTAGGAAATGTCGTGAAATGTTCGATTTCGCTGTAAGTTTTTACTGGAATTAGAAAATTAAGTTTGTTGTTGTTTATTGAATTTGAACACATTTGTGATTTCTTTTTTTGTTTTTTCTAGTTTTTGAAGAAATGAAAGCTTTTATTTTATTGGTAATGATTATGAGATTAAATGCTTTGTGGGTTCTTAAAAGCTTAGAATCTAATTGTTGAGATTAGTTCAGACCATTGACAGTGAGACACTAAAGTATTTCTACTAATCAGTCTTCGTTTTCAGTTATTTCTTGATCTCGTTGTTGTTATTTGCTTGGTGCAGTTTCTTGATGAGAACAAGAAGCTGATAATGGCGATCTTGGAAAATCAGAACCTCGGTAAACTTCAAGAATGCGCTGAGTAAGTGTGACACTGTTTCTCGATGATACAATCTCCGAGCTGTTTCTATAAATAAGGCATATATCATCATTTCTTGATCCTTCGTTGTATCTCTCTGCAGGTATCAAGCTCTTCTCCAGAAGAATCTGATGTATCTAGCTGCAATCGCTGATGCTCAACCTCAGCCACCAGGAGCTGCACCAACAACACCAGGAGCCATGGCTCCTCAAGCAGTAAAGTGTTGTTTTGATTATTATTTACAAAAGAAAACATAATTCTGGTTCCTTAATTACAGTTTGTGTCTGGTTTCTGTAGATGGGTCCTCATGGATCAGCGATGCAGCCACCACCAAGCTACTTCATGCAGCAGCAGCAGCAGCATCAGCAAGCTGTGGGAATGGCTCAACAAATACCGCCAGGGCTTTTCCCTCCGAGAGGTCCGTTGCAGTATCAGTTTCAAGATCCACAGCAGCAACAGTTACATCAACAAGCTATGCCAATGAAAGGGCACATGGGGATTAGACCAATGGGTTTGCAGCATTCGATGCTGCACCACCCGGAAACTGCTCTCGGCCCAAACAACAGTAATCGAAAACCTCTCCTCTTTTAAACCTTTCTCTCATGGTTTTTCAGAAGTTTGAAACTTATATTATCACGTTTCCTCCTTATTAATTTACTGATATTTTTACAATTCCTTCTCTACAAGCAGCGGGTCCGAGTGATGCTCGTGGTGGAGGCAAACAGGATGTGACCGATGTGAGTCATGGTGGAGCTGATGGGCAAGGTGGCTCAGCGGCTAGACATGAAGGAAAATGATGGTTTTGTTGATATTTAATTAGGTTCTGTTTGTTTTTTTGCTTCTTCCACAATGATGACAAAGTTGTTACTTTGTCAGGTTAGTCACGGTTTAGGGTTTTTGAGAGGATTCAGTTTGAATTCCAAGATGGATGTGGAAATGGGTTCTCACATTCACATGTATTGGTAACGTTGTTGTTGTATGGTAATTAGATGCACCGGTTCGATTTGGTGTATGAACCGGTTTGGGTCCTAAGGCTGGATTTTAATCAAGCCGTCTGAACCGTGTTTTGTTGAACTGTTTTATATCGAAATTTATGCAATGTTCATTTTTTATTTGGGTGCCATCTGGAATGAATTGTTAGGGATGAAACCAGACCAATACAAAGAATCATCAACAGATTTCAGAATCGATTCCCTTATAGTATGTTTACCTAAAACCAAACCAGACCCCAAATATTGCCGAGACAAGACAAAACAAATAATAATACTGCAACATACAGGAAAGCAAAATGCAAAAAGAAAACAGTTGTCAAGTCTCTTTGTTGGCTCAATTTCATTTATCGTCAAAATCAACAAACATTACAAAAAAATATCTTTTTGAAAAGGCTTGGTCTGTGAATAATGTTGTATCCAATTCATCCTCACAAATTATTACTACAACCACCAGCTAGAGAAAATAGCTGGATCCTCAATATCAAAGAGAAGAGCCAAACAAAAGAGTAAATATCCGGTAATGAATCCCATAACAAATGAAACACTTATTCAGGGCGTGACTTGACGATGAAGTTCTGGCGACTGATAGGGTTCATCACCACCGGAGGACCAGCGGTTCTTGGCCACGCTTGGAATTTCTCTTCCGTCGCAGCCCACCATTCCTTGTTTGAAACAGTTCCCGGTGTAGTCCCTGCGTTTTCAAAAACAATCCGATTTAGCTTAGCTGATACATCTATAAGATCACTAGTAGCTATAAAAGGTTGTGAAGTGTTTCTTTCCGAATAAAACTTGCCTCCGAATAGCTTATCATCAGAGATGACTTTGTCACACACGTAGGCTACTACGGCAGATCCTACAAGGGCACCGACTATGTATGTGGCTCTTGACATACTTAACCTGATGTGATCATAACAAAACATTAGCATCTAATGTGCAATATAGAAACCAAACATGAAATGAACCAAAAGGAGAAGAAAGTATATGGAATCATCAAAGAAGCAAACTCTAGTTTAGAAGAAAGAGGCGAAAACACTAGATTCAAGCTTTGTACATGAGTATATATATCACAATTTGTGTCATCTGATCAGATATGCGTTTGATTCGTTGATGGAAGCGAAAAACAATTCAAAGCGACAGTATCAAGGAGACTGAAATAAGTTTATTCAGTCATAATCTATCCAATGAATCTCCTAAATCATCACAAAGTTGAGCTGCTGAATCAAAAAATATTCAGCTAACAATTAAGTCATAAGACGCAAACAAAAGGTCACAGATATGAGACGAAAACCTCTGAATAGCTAAACAATGGTGATTTTCACATATGAACGATACGAGCCGATCTAAGAAAATCACTGCCGCCAGCAAATAACATACGTATCTGCCAATTCCAGATTTTTCAGAGGAGGCCTAATATAACGATCCATTCAAAAATCGGCGCAGAGCGGGATCTACTGTTCAATATCGAAGAAACCAGATATACACAGATCACGTGGAAACAAAATAATCGAGAGAGAAGGAAAACAAACCAGCCGACGAATAACAGCGACGGATAGATCTGAGAGAGAATCAGTTTAACAAAAGAGGAAGCACCGATTCGAGAAGAGAGATTTACCTCAATCGATTCACAGACGACGAAGCGAGAACACGGAGAGGCGCAGGAAAATTTCGAGAAGAATCGTTCCGGGTGTTTTGGGACTTTTACGTATCTCGTAAAACTTGAAAATGACTGAAACATGAGGTTATCGATGTCGTGTACATAGATCGGGCCGTAAAGGCCCACCTTAAAATTTAAGAGTTAATTCAGAGTTGGGCCTTTGACCAGAGTTGAGGTTTTAAAAATGGTGTACCAATTAGCATATCCTTAAGACCTTAACCTTAAGCATTTTCATACATACATGTATATATTTTTTTTTTTATGGTTGATAGAATTTTATGTTTAAGCATAACCACTTGTTTTTTTTTTTCATTTTTGTTGCCAAGCATAGGACCACTAATATAACTGGACCAACCCTGATTATATCGTTGCATGATTTAAGGAAGGACCATGTGAAGCAGTGAAAGATTGCTAAATGTTTCCAACTTTCTATCAAGAAACTTAACTTCAGAGTAGAAACTATATCATGGCCTGATAAATATACATAGTTACGCGTGTCACGTGTATAGCATTTTTTCTAAAACTAAACAACGTAGGAGTATAAAAAAACTAAGCAACACGTTTATTGTTTTATCATGTTTATTTGTGTACGTACTACGTAGTTTAGTTTTATAAAAAATGCTATACACGTGTAACATGTATATTTATCACCTATGAGGCAATGATATAAATATACTGTATAATATAATTCTGCTTAGTTTATGTTTGGAATGCTTACTTTGTCGCGCACAACATTTAAAGCAATTTATTACAATTACTAAACAAAATAAATGAAAAAGATACAAGCCAATTGCATTATTGTATATTAGTACAGTTTTCTTCACTTTGAATTATTGTACCTTTTTCTTTTCTTTGCATTATTGTACCCTTTTTTGTTGTTTTCGCATTGAACGAAAAAGTTTTTCTAAACAGTTTGTTCATATATGCAAGACAATGTCTTAATAACAGTCATTTGGTAATCACTATAAAGCAGTATTAATTCATTACGTAATCGCCTTGATTACCAGTGTTAAGTAGCTTTCACAGAAGTGTGGTCATAAGATTAATTATGTTTCTGATGAGTGTATGTCATTGTCTACGATTCCTCTCGTCTCATATATCGTCTCTCTCAAACTAATATTTCCAACTGATTAATTAATGAATTTTTTCTTTTAGTAATCTCCACATCTGGATCATAATTGATAAAAAAAACTTGAGAAAATAACCATCTTGAGCATTCTTTCTCTAAACTTTGGAGCATGTTTTCATTGAACAAATTAAAAATGACAAACAAAACAAAAATTCTAGCTAAATTCAGTTTTTTGTCACTAAGATTTGGAAAAAAAAAAACAAAGATTCTAGCCGTTCTTAAAATTAAAAACAAAGATTCGCTTGCAGCCACAAAATACTATGCTGACATTTCAAATTGCAGAGGAATAATTTTGGCTTGAGCTTTTCATGTGAACCATTTTTGAAGACGACAACATGTGATAGTTAATGACTTGATGTTTTATTTTCCAACGTAGAAAACATATTTCCAACGTAGAAAACATATAGACACGTGATGATTCTGTGTAACCATAATCCTTCTAGACCATTCTGGTATACCATCCCAAATGTACAACCATATATAACCATAAATGAACTAAAATAATTAAATAACATTACTGGTCTAGAAAAAACATAAACACTGATGATGCAATGTTAATCTTTCAATTACAGATGGATTAAATTTAGAATAAAAAACTGGAGTTAATCCTTCTTGGATGGCTCCAGAAAAAGAATTATAGACTGAAAAGAATGATCGTCAAACATAAACCAACAATTAAATTTTTGTTTGTCTTCTTAATCTACATGGCTTGAGACTTTTCTCACACTAATTAATTCACGACAAACGTCTCCATTGATAAAAAAATAAAATATTAATTCATTACGTAGACAACTAATTAAGCTCTCGAGTGACTGATCTTAGCTTTCGAACAAGTGTGGTCCTAAGCCTATCTTCTGATCTTAATCCGTCTGGAACACAAAGAACAACATCTTGAACCATAATCTGACTCACGCGCGATGCACTCGCGTGTTGTACACGGCAATCCATTTCCATCAACGCACTCATCAATGCTGACGTTGGATGGTTCACATTGTCCGTCTCAACCCTAACCACAGCTTCATCTCCGACGATCTTTACTTGCACTTCAAGGCCAGAGACTCTGTTTGATTCCGAAGGTTTCTGGTTGACTTGGTCAATGTTGAGGCTGTTGTCTTCTAAAGTAAATGTCTTCAACCTCTTGATCTCCATTTCGAGATCGTCGATTTTGGATTTGAGATTTTCGATGTACGAAACGGCGTCGGATAAGAGCGACGCTTTATCCATTCGCGACACATTTGGTACGACGGCACGTAGAGCGTAAAACCGGTGGTTTAGCTTCTCTCTCCGCTGCCTCTCCGCCTCCACGTGGTTCAAAACCGGCGAAAGATTCCGTTTCTCCGTCGTATCGATTTTGCTCCTCAGTTTTCTCTCCGCTTTTGATTGTTGATTTCCAACTTCCGAATGATCTGATCCCGCCGGTTTAGGATCAGAACCGGTTTGGTTAGTTTGTCTCGGGGTTTCATCTGACCCGAATATTGACTTGACCCAATTGATAAAGTTCCAGTTTTGCTTAATCGTGACGGACGAACCAAGTTCGATAATGCCATTGTGTATTATTGGTAGGGAGACGAACGTGTGGACCCCGTGGAAACTGGCTTCTTTAGCCCTATCACAGTTGCTAAACCGGAGCTCGTCGGAACCGGTTAGCCATATCAAAGATTCGCCGGAAAATTCCGTGCTCGGCGACCCATCTCCGCCATTCAATGATGTTGCATAGAACCACTCCAAATCTCCACCGTCCATCATCAGCTCACACTCGATGCTGTTACTTGTATACTTAAGAAAGAAACCAATAAAAAATCAAGAGTTAGAAAATTATATTATTTCATTACTATAGAGCTTGAAAAATGTCGAATAAAAGCTCTATATACTTTGTTGGAAACAAAAATCAATGTAAGACATTTTTGATTAATGTAACTAATGTATAAGAGGCAAAGAAAAATTAACATTTTCTTGGGATTTGTAATTCTTGTTTCCACCGAAATGTCCGTCAACCCAAACCAAGTAAGACCGGTCCGATTTATCATCAGTCATCTTTTGCCATAAAATGACGTAAGCCCATCGGTCCGACGACGATTCCACGACAAACCGGAGTTTCTGCTGAAGTATATCCGTCGGAGAAGATGACACAATGGCCGGAGTTTGCTGCGTAAAAGAGAGCATAGAAGAAGACAAAGATGGATAGAATGTGAGATTATTCATTATTTTCCTGACCAATGAATGAATGAGATTCAGAAGAATAGAGAAGAAAGATGTTTAGCGAAAAAGAAGAAGATAAGGGATACTATATATAGATAGTAATGTTATTTTGTACTCTATGGGCGTGGAGAACGTAAAACATTATGGTTTGTGTATTTTGTTGTGAATTTAATCTTTGATAATATTTTCATTGTGGGTATTTTAATATATTTTATTAACCACACGTTTAAATTAAAAAGAACTCATTGACAATTGTCCAAAACGAAAAAATGAAAAGTTATTTTATTAGTAATCACGTGAAAGATTTTCCCTGAAATTATATGGACTGGTTTTTAAAAATGTAATGTACATAATATATGGGTAAATGATTCCTCTCGGTTTGGTGTCGCGTTGTTGTTGGGGGATTCTTTGGCTCTATTCCATAGTAGAAATGCATTTATTCTTATTGGTTGCCGTGTGATGTATCCTCAAAGGGCACATGTAAGTCTGAACGATACACATTTTCAGATTTATGAACATTTCTAAATCATTTAGCACTATGTCTCTAAATTTTAGAAACTCTTCATAATCTTTGAGAATGCAGATTTTTTGGGAATTTTTAATTTTGATCAAGTGTTGAATGAGGCTAGGTGTTGAGATTTAATTCGATTTTTTTTTTTTTTTTGAACTTGGAGATTTAATTCAACCTCTCTTTTGAGGTGCCTTTTTGGGTTATGTAGCAAATTAGCTATGTAATATGGTTTTAATTCATTTTGAACATGACCAAAAAGTATATATGAAAATCAGGTTTCATTTTCTTGGTATATAATATTTTTTAATAAAATTGATAAAATAGAATAAGAATTCCTTGATGAAAAAAATAAATTGTTTAATGCTGGCATTTTATATGAATCACATAATTTATCATAAATACAGTGAACTAATATTGAGTGAAGCATGAAGCATCGCTTGTCCATTAACAACAATTCCAAGCCATTAGCCAAAAATTTGATTTCATCCCACAACGCAAGGTAGTAAGCAAGTATGTTCCATACACCATTCATATTTTAAAGAGGAACGAGATTTATTTATTTGTGACGGATTGTTTTGTCGACAACACCTTACATAAAATACAATTTTTTATTGTTGATATCAAAAGAAATAATCAAATCATAAGAGAATGTTTCTATATATAGATTTTGCATTTTTTTTTTATAATAAAAGTAAGATCTCTCCCTCTCTTCCTTCATGTCGAGATTTCTCTTTCTTCTTCTTCTTTCGATTCTTTAGATAAAATTTGTTGTCTGAATTTGATTAATTAGTTGCTGCATAAACCAAATCTTCATCTAAGAAATCTAGAGGAAAATAATCATTGTGAGATTCTTAAGATACTAAACACTAAGTATTTCGCTTCTTTAAATAAATTCTGTTGTCTGAATTTGATTAATTAGTTGCTGCATAAACCAAATCTTCATCTAAGAAATCTAGAGAAAAATAATCATTGTGAGATTCTTAAGATACTAAACACTAAGTATTTGTCAAGACACATACAATATGCATCAACTCAAAGATCTCCGTCATTCCTCCAACCATCAATTTGGAAAGGCGGCCAGAACTAGAGATACAAGAAATGGTTAAACCATAACGTCTGGTTTTGTTGTAACAATATGTTGTTAATTATATGTGTAAATTTTATGTTGTCAAACCAATAAAAATCATCATCTTGATATATAGTTAAGATTTAAGAAGCAAATAAATCTTTAAACAAACTTTAACGGCTATTTTTCCTAGATATATTCAAATGAATGAATGAAAATAAACAGAAACTACGTTTACGATGGGAAGGTGGAGATAATATTAAGCTTAAGCATTATATCTGTTGCAAAGGGTCACGAACAAAATATGTGGCAAGCATATGAAAGATGATTTTAATTCACGAAAGAGTATGTCTACAATATCTGGAATATAAATTATGTATTTGGTAGTGATGCGTTTGCTATTCTACGAATCAGACCCACACAAAGGGTCAAAGCCTCTCGTCCATTTCTTTCCCCTTTCAAAATTCCATCATTATTTTGCCTTTTTTTATTGTAGAATCGTAGAAAAATAAACAAGAAGAGAAGTTCAATATACAAACGAAAAAAAAAATTCATATATGCGTACAAAATTAAGAAGAGAAGATCAATGTATATTTATTGCTTCATTTACTGCAAGTGCGCGATTACAAATTTTCTTAGGTTGTTTCTTTCTGACCGTAAATATCGAATCAAATACAATTGAGTGACAGCAAAAGTTCAAGAAAACTGTTATCATCAGATAATATTTTTTTTATATATTTAATATAAAGAAACTTCGTTTTCACATATCTTTATCAACATAAGCGTAACATAGAAGTTATATTATATGGTATATATGTTAAATAATAATGCATGTACGTACTATCTTTATTCAAATGATTAATATATTGTAAAATAGTAGGCAAAGCTACCATCTGAGAATTTTGGCTAAACCTCAGACCCAAGTTTCAGCATCTTAAATAGCTATGTAAAAATCGAAGTTAATTAGATTGTTATCATCACAAAAATGATGTTTATTATTACAGTACCATGCCAAGCTTACAGTTAATCATCGTAAAACATAAATTCAAACAACAACAACATGTCACACATGACACAACCAGATACTGTAGAATGAAATGATATTTAATTACAATCAACAACAACACGTACGAGACATTATTTATATAGATATATATGAAAGAGGACAAAACAAAATCATCATCTGTTATCATAAACCGGAATTTCAGAAATTAATTAACATGATCATCAAACCTTAAAGCACCGGATGAGATGGTTTTGATGATGATGGTGATGGTGGTGATGATGGAGAGTATTATAAGTACCGAGAGATTTAGAGCTCTCACGATCGATCAATCCTCGAACGTACCTAAACTCTTCGACGTGGCAAGGAATCGTGATTGTCCCTTTTTGAGCGAACCCAAACTCTTCTTCAGCTTCTTTCAAGAGTTGTCCAAACAAAGGATGATTGAAATACAAAACAGGAATCACAAATCTCTCTTGCTCTTCTCCTTGTCCTACCTTCACTGCCAAACACCCTTTTGGTACCTTTTCATGATCATGCTCATGATGATTATGATTATGATGATGATGATGGAGACGTGGGATATGGAAGCTCCAGTGACTGAGTTTATCTCCGTTACCCATATTGGATGAATATTAGTAGTATATATAGATACTATATATATAATACGGTTTAGTTTGTCTCCATGGTTTCTGTCTCTCCCATCTTGTTTTGTTTTCCCCAGAAAAATGATTTTTGTTTCCCCTAGAGAGTGAAGGAAAATGGCCCGGGTTCTTGGAAGGTTGTGAGAGATGGACGATGAATGAAACGTCGTATGTTTGTCATTTATTTTGAAGACGAGTTTTTGAAGACGAGACTCTTTAATTGTTTTAAAAGAGAAGATCGGAGTTTCTTGTATATATAGCAAAGATGGTGCGTATAATTTACCTTAGTTTTTTCTTATATAAACCGAATCTGAATCCCTAATGATATAAAAAAAAATCGAATATATCTTGATTGAAATTTAAGCACTCAAGAAAACTTTGGACTTATCCTACATGTATATTATGAGGTACTTTACTTTTTTTTCTTTTCTCTTTTTGCCATAATTCAAACTTGAAAGACAATCCAGCTAAACCCCTAATTAACGGAGATGAGGGCACACATAATCGTCTGTGTAATTGTAAGTACAGTAATTAGTTGTTTCAAATAGAATACATTTAAATATAAAATTAAGAACTTGATATCGGTAACACTTTGTAGTCGTGTAGACGAGTGGCTGAATTTTGTTCTTTCTCATGAACTGTCATTTTGTTTACTGTAAGTATATTTTATATTTGTGTGATGAAAAACCAAAAAGCAAATTCTGTTTTATTTATTTCAAAGAGTTATCAATTGAATTGAAGCATTAGACAAGGAACAAAACAAAGTACAGTGGAGGTTTAGTGGTAGGAAATTAGATTCGTCCAAACTCATCTATATATTTTCTTTTAATTTCTAAAAAAAAGTTTCGTATTTTAAAAAGTCAAAAGCTAGCGTTTGATTTACATATTTGGAATCTTACACATGTTGCCTTTACCACAAAGTCTTTTCCACACGACTTTGCCTTTTTTTTTTTCCCATGTATATCAAATTTCTGCTAATAAATCTCAATTGGACCCAATAATATGATAACACATAAAGGAAAAGTGAAAATTCCAATGGAATTGGTGGTGTCAATTACAATATTTCTATTTTAAAAAGTTTAAATAGACTTTTTTTAATTGTTACATGGAAGTACGCATCGTTTGTACAAAGAAGCCACAACCTCATAGATTGTTGGAATATCTAGCGGAATATATTATTACAATTTTATTTATAAAGTTAATTCCCACTTGATATTTCTTTTCCCCCACACTTGAAAAAAAAGGTGTGACCTGTCCAAGGAAAGGTAAAATGGGCCGTAAAACGTAGGCTTAATACTTTTAACATAATAGGCTGGTTATTTGTGGGCTGTATATAGGCTATCTTGACTTTTCTTTCCCACGATAAACAGAAAAAAAAAAAGTTCGAATTTCAATTTTAACAATCACATTACTTTCAACCAAAGTAAGTATTCGAAAATGCAAAAGCATAGCTTTTTTCTTCTTCTTTATTCACTGCATAACTTTTAAAGCGACTGAACAGAACTAATCCATATATATAACTTAATCAGATCTTATCCTCTTTTTTCTCCAAAACCTATAATCCTACTGACATATATACATGACTCGATGACCAGCAAATTTTTTTAGTTCAGAGCAACATCCAATATTAGCACATGTGCATTTATGTTATGCAGAAAGTTGCGATTAAATTATTGAGAGAAGATGTCACATCTCATAAATACTAGGAAAAGGTGTGACATGAAGATAAAAGCACTTTGACAAAGCAAACTCTTTTTACTATAGTCAAAAGCTTCAATTTCTGTGGAACCATTTTTATCATTTAAAATTATGTGAGTTATTATATTTAAGAATCTACAAATTTACAGAAATATTTTTTTTAAAAAATAATTCATTTTATAACATTAATATAGTATAACTATACATGGTTTGATTACGCTAGTTATTAACTTCACAATCTACAAATTTACAGCAATAAATTTGTTCACCTTATATTTATTAATTAAAACGAAAAGTTTAATACAATATTTAATTTATTCGCATAAAACGCGAAGTTTAATATAATATTTAATAATTAAGAATTTATCTATAGTTCCTAATTCCTATATAATCGCATTACATTTAGGTTAGCTGTAACTTGTACTACGTCACATTTAGGCTATAGTTGTACTACGTCACATCTACGAAGCATTGCATTGATCAAAATAATCTGTACTCTCGAATCTTGTAAATATTTAAACATTGTGATGTTGATTAAAATCTAACATAACAATTCATGGTCGGGTTGTAGGCTTGTAGCATTCATGATATATGTACAATCTCACGTTAGTTTTGACATAAAATTGTGTGTTTTTTCTTTATTTATACATGTTGACTCGAGAACGCAACAAAAGATAAAGTAAAGTTTGGTTAATTATTACGAGAAACTAATCAAAAATATTTTTTCACAATAGTATATATATGTATATTACATGGATAAATAAAATGTGATTTTCTCTAAACACACATACTCAATTGAAACCTTTCTCTTCTCAACTAATCTACTTAAGAAATTCGGTCATCACCTAATCTTACTCTTATAGGGAGTCACCCACAGAAGTGCGTGTGTATATATAATCTATATAGGTGAATGCACATTGCCTAAATATATGCCTATGTATATGCGATTGTCACGTGAATGAAAACATTTAAAAAAAAAAACCGGATTACATTTTCTAGTTGGGGTTTTTGTAGAGTAAATAGTTTAGTTATAAAAGCAGTGGAACACATATACGTATGAACAATTGAACATCGAAAGGAGAAAAAAATATGAACATTGTATGTTTATCAAAACTGCGTAGAGAGCTAGAAGAAAAAGAGAGTTAAGAGACATTGCTATCCTAAGACGAATAAAGTAATCTAACTAGGTTTTGTAGTTTCTGGTAATGGCAATACCATGTTGAGGGGGATGAAGCCTGGTCCGACGATTCCATAGATATATGCACATGCTATTATCGTATCATAATGTATGGTACTATGTGTATATATGATGGCATCCTCGATCCAAACAACATTCCCCTCAACGGAAATAGCCTCTTCATATAATCACAATAACAGAGAAGTTATATTTATAATGAGAGAAAGTGATAGATGATAATAGAGAGAGAAAGAATGGTGCTGAATGATAGTGTTATGATGAGGGAATGATGATGAGGAGGAGATGGGCTTTTAAAGAGACTGAGACACAGTGTCATTCCAAAACCCTAGCTTGCCTTTTTAAAAATATGTATGCTGTATTTATTTATTTATTTTTAAATATAGACGTAGTTAGTTCGTATAGGACAAACGGGTTTTGATTGGAAATTTTGGATATGATGTGAAGAAAGTAAAATTTCAACACAAGTATGTTATTCAAATTCTTTATTTTCAAAAGTTAGCAAAGCATCTAACACTATATATTATCAGTAATCTTTTATGAAACTACTAGTTAATTCATTACTTTTTTATCCGTAACATATTTTAAAGTTAATTTGTCAAAAAAAAAAAAAACGTATTCACACTTCTTAAGTTAAGTAACCATGCATGCTATTTAAACATACGTCTTCAGTATACTGCTTTTAAGTTGGTATGACTAATTGATAATCAAACTGATACTACTACTAATTTTGTATTATTCAAATTCCACACTCTCAGAACTTAGCAAAGCATCTAACACTATATTATTAGTTATCTGTTATGAAGCTATTAATTAATTAATTCTTTGATACTGTAACATATTTTAAAGTTCTTTTGTCAAAAGGTAAATCACGTATTCATACACTTACTTAATTAATTAGCTATGCATGATACTTAAACGTTATAGTATTGTATAACTACTGTTTTTAAATTTGGTATGACTCATGATAATCAAACATATACTATATCCCTATCTTGATCATACTTCATAATTAACCTAAGACGTTCTTCATTGAACCATTAAGAGTGCCTAGAAAAAATAAATAAGCGAAGTATATAGCAATAGAGAAGCAAGAGAAAGTCGTCAGAGTAGTAGTTGTAGAAAACATATTTATTTTTGTTTTACTTTTTAGGTACACTGCCAAGTTCCCACTTTATCAGTTATCCACGTTTCAATTACTAATTTGCCTAGTACAAATTCACATTACAGTATATTTTGATTTTGTTTTCTCAAAATACATTAAACAGAATACACATTTGAATAAAAAGTGTATAATTGATACTCAAGTTTAATAATCATACATCGTGATTAGAAATGCGCAGAAGTATATGCATATGCTAATTAATATGTAGAATCAGGTCTAAGCTCATTGGAAGTATTAGTGGAAATTAAAAGTTGTTCAACGCGAAGACATTACTCTTGTTTCTTTATGGCATGGGGTATTTTTTCACTTGGAACTTCACGCTGACTGTCTAGTGTCTATGACTATAGATATTCCCAATACTTTTAGATATCATAATATATTTTTTTAATAAAGAAATGATTAATTATATTACTATTTCAAAATAAATAAGTAAGTATTCTTGTGTAAGCATGCAGATAGTCTGGCAACGACTTCGTTATCATGACATTGTAATTAGGGAAGTAAGAAATACAATAAAGGATGCTGTCAAGTTTTGAGGCATGTTTGTCTCTACGCTCTTCAGCTTTTAAGTATATACTAATATATACATACCGTTGGTTGCAAATTGCATTTGCGATACAGATCATTTCAGTTATATTCGTATATAGGAGTATTATTTATCTATGAATGAAGGTAACTGATATATACATTTATTTCATCAACAGATTTTCTCTTCACAGATAGCCCCTTTTATTTAGACTGCATAGAGGCTGAGAATTTGAATTTTGTAGGTCTATTTTTCCGATTTAGTTTTCACGTTAAAGTGAACAATGTTTATTGCACATCATGGGAAGTTGTATTCTGATTTGACTTTTTGTTTGACATTTTTTGATTTTTACTATACCAGTTTGACCGACAGCTGTATATGTACAAATACTACTACTAGTATGTAATTATCGATCAGATCTAAAATATAAAAATAATACTACAGTTGTTGACAAAAGTAAAAATTAATAAGCAGCGCGTACTAAAATATAAAAATAATATTTCTTCTGTTTTAGAAAGAGTGTTATTTTGACACTTTTCACACATATTAAGAAATTTAATAAAATTTTTTTTGTCTTTTATAAATACATTAAACAGTTTTTTTTCTTCTAATTAATACACTAAAATAACAAGGTTAGAATTAGATTTTTAATTAAAAATTTGCATTGGAAATACAAAACGACACTTTTTGTGAAACAAAAATAAAACTCTAAAACGATACTCTTTATGAAACAGAGGGAAAACTACAATTGTTATCCGTGTCATCCTTCTATAATAGCATAACAAGATGATTACATATATTTTAGAGAAATAGTTTTGTTTTTGTTAAATATGGTTTATATACAAATAGAAGTTATATAGTGATATTTCTGAGTCTTTATATGTTGAGCTGGTCCAGTATATATGAGTTATAAATGCGCTCTTTATGTCTTATGGTCAATAAGGACAAGGCAACATCACCTTCTTTAATCTAATCGTACAATAACATTTATACGGATGGGGGTCCCTAACAAAAAAATTCTTATTAAAAATTATAAAGACACATTAAATATCGCAAAACATTATCAGAATTTTAAATGTTGTCATGTGCTTTAAGGCGTGGAAACTGAAAGCATTTATTTTCATCACAAACAAACCAAGTTTCTAAAACATTATTGGAACTAATCTAATGATTTTAACAAAAGTTTTCACGTGTGGTAAGCAAAACGAAAAATTGACGTACTGTGTTCATTATACAGTAACTTTTTTATACTATAAGAAAAAAAAAAAAAAAAAGCCCAGACTCAAGATTCAATGGGCCGGCTCAAATATAAGCCCATATATTTTTAGGGCGCCAATTTTATTATTTTGTTCGTCATTCCGATTCAGAATCCCCAACAAGGGTATATTAATCACAACTTTGATCTTAGTCGATCGTCAAGTGGACGCCAGGATCATGATCGATGGAATATGAATCGACGGAGAGAGAGGTGTTGATCCCTTGGACATTACTGTTAACAAACACCATCATCATCATCGGTATCGATTTGTTCTTCTCTGACCAAATTGCATTTCCTCTGTTTTTCTTAATTTCCCCGGTGATCTCGGTTTTCTCAGCCGGAATCTTCATGAGCTTCTCGTCTGGTTTTTCCGGATTGTGGTTTTGAGTCTTGTGATGATCTTGTGAAGCTTGAGATTCGGTGTCTGTTGGTTTCATAGAATGAGATTCGATTGGATTAGGTTTAATTTGGGGTAAAGATTGTTTAAGTGAGGGGATGATTTGGGATTTGAGTGGGGAAGCAATCGACGGAGGCTCTGATGGGGGCGGCATAGGTGATTGAGATTGGAGATTTTCAGTAGCTTTCGGTGACAACGATGATGATGGTGGTGATCTGGATTGTTGGCCAGTTTCTAGCAATGGCGGTGTTGATTTTGGTTCTTCAATAGATTTTGGTGGTGGTTGTGGCGAAATCGGCGGTGAGGGAGGAGGTGAATGGGACCGAGTATCATCAGTAGATTTAGACGGCGGAAATGATGGAAGCGGTTGGAGCTGGGATTCTACATTAGTGTTTGGCGTTGACGGTGGAGTTTTGGCTTTTGGTACTGATAAAGGCGGTTGAGATTCACGAGACGATGACAATGACGCTGGTGTTGCTTGCGAAGGACGCAATGACTGGATTCGAGTTTCATCAATGGATTTAGACGGCATAAGTGGTGGAGGCAGAAGTTCTTCAGTAGCTTTTAGCGTTGACGGTGGAATTTTAGCTTCTGGAGGTGGCAAAGGCGGTTGAGATTCACCAGATTCTGATAATGACGGTGTCAATGCTTGCGACTGAGGCGACGATTGGAATCGAGTTTCATTATTGGCTTTAGACGGCAGAAGCGGTGGAGGCGGTTTGGACCGGGATTCTTCAGCAGCGTTCGTTGACGGTGGAGTTTTGGTTTCTGGTGGTGGTAAAGGCGGTTGAGATTCACCGGATTTTGACGATGATGGTGTCGACGGTGGAGTTTTAGCTTCTGGTTGTGGCAAAGTTGGTTGAGATTCACCAGATTTTAACGATGTTGGAGATGCTTGCAACGGAAGCAATGATTGGATCCGAGTTTGGTCATTGGATTTAAACGGTGGAAGCGGTGGAGACGGTTGGGACTGGAATTCTTTATGAGGTTTTTGCGTTGACGGTGGAGATGGAGGAGTTTTGGTTTCCGGTGGTGGCAAAGGCGGCTGAGATTCACGGGATTCTGACAATGAGGGTGGTGACGCTCGAGACGGAGGCAGTGATCGGAGCGGAGTTTCATCAGTAGATTTAGACGGGGAAGGAAATTGTGGAAGCGGTTGGGAGTCTTCGTTAGCGTTCAGCGTTGATGGCGGAGACGGTGGAGTATTGGATTTTGGTGGAGGTAATGGCGGCTGAGATTCATGGAATTCTGACAATGACGGTGGTGATGCTTGCGATTGCGACAACGGTGGTGGTTTTAACGGAGTTTCGTCAATAGATTTAGACGGCGGAAACGTTGGAGATGGTTGGGACTGAGGTTTTAAAGTAGCGTTTAACGTTGTCGGAAGGGACGGTGGCTTTTTTGCGTCTGCTGTTAGTGTTAGAGGAGACACCGATGCTAGAGGTGGCGGCTGAGATTCACTCGGTTCTGGCGGCGGAGGCGTTTTCTGCGGTTGAGGATCTTCCTTTGATTTCGGTGATAAAAGTGACGGTGGTGATGATTTCTGTTCTGGCGGTACACGTGGCGGAGACAGGCGAGTTTCACCGGATACTGAAAGAGACGGTGGAAGTGTTGATGGTGAAGGCATCGGCGGTGGAAATTGTTTTGGAGACGGCAGAAATGAAGGTGACTGCGGTTGTGGCTGAAGTTCTGGTGACCGTGGTGTTGCTTTTGGTTCCGTCGGTACACGTGGCGAAGACTGGCGGTTTTCATCATCTTTTGAAAAAGACGGTGGGAGTGTTGATGGTGAAGGCAATGACGATGGAAATTGATATGAAGGTGACTGTGGTTGTGGCTGAAATTCTGGCGACTGTTGTGGAGATTCTAACAAAACTTCTTTAAAATCCTTAGATGGCTGCGGCGGCGAGGGTGGTGGTGGTGGTGGCGGCGGCGGCGGCGGTTGGTGGCTGACGCTTTGTCGTAATTGGACAAGCCTAGCTAAGTTTCCGAGACGAAACCTCCGGCGAGATTGTCGATTATTAAACATTTTACTTAAACTCTTTTGCTGTATCTTTGGTTGTTGAATGTAGTAGATTTGTTATCTATCTATATGTTTGGTTAAAATAGGTAAGGATTTAAGCTTAAGCTCTGTAACTTCAGACAACTTTAGCCTACACGAAATAGACCTCATTGACTCTAGGTATTATCATAAACTCAAGATAAGTATTGGATTCCCCTAACCTTTTCACAAATATACCGTTTAATTTCAAATCCAAAATTGGTCTAATTTTGATAAAAGATTAGGCCCATTTAGTGTCTTAAAAGATTAGGCCCAATTATTTCACTCGTTCAACAGAATGCATATTATGCGGTATTGCATTCTAGCATCTCCGAGAGTCCGAGTGGATAGATAATATCTGGAAATTCTCATTTCATCGTCTTCCATGGATACTCTCACAGCATCCGTGTCATCCTTCAACCTCCCTTCTCTCCCTCCACAACCGCAACCACCGCTTAGATCCATCTCCCGCCGCTTTAAATCCACCGTCAACGCAACCGCTTCTGCTGCATCTACCAACCTCTCAAGACCTACTTCATCTTCATACTCCCACAACAAAAACTCTACTTTCCCCAGTGGAATCTCGCCACCGCTTCCGAAAGCTGAACCCTCGAGAGCTCCATCGCCTCCGTCTCCTCCGGTGCACGAGAAGGCGGCGTCTGGATTTGCTGCTGCGCTCGTTAGCGTTTGTCAATCGAAGAATTGTCTTGGTCGGACTCAAGAAGATGTCAGAAGGTTGATGGAGTTTCTTGTGGGAGAAGAGAAGAAGAGGAACAACAAGGTCTTAGTCAATGACGTTGTTGAGAGAGGCAAATTCGGTAAACACTTGAAGGGCTTGGTCAAGATGTTGGTTACAAGAGGTAAATCAGGGATTTTGACTGATGTTTTAATGGAGTTTGAGAGAATCTGTAATGAATTGGTTGTTGTTGGTAAGACAAAACTTGTCTGGGTTACTTGATGAAACAACTAAAGATTGTAAACAGATTATTACATCAAATCCAAAGTGTGCTTTTTATTTTCATTAAAAGAAAAACAAAAGGTTACTATCTTTGGTTCTAATGGAAGTTGATAGAAACTAAAGATTGTTAAAGAGAATATAATCAAATACAAAGTTTGCTTTTTTTGTTTCTCCCAGAAAGAATAAAAAGAAAAGTTACTGTTTTTGTCTTTTGGGTTAATGAGACTTTCTACATTGTCTTGATCTTCTTCTTGATGCTTCCTCTGCTGCATCTCCCAATGAACTTAAGAGCTTCATCGATTAGAATCACAGGGAAGGAAACAAGAATAACCACAAACCATTCCCTGAAACTCAAAGGCACGATCCCAAACACGTTAGCTAAGAAAGGAACATAGAGAATGACACAGTGAAGCCCAAAGGAGACAGTCATAGCCACAAGAAGCCAAGGGTTTCTCCACGGTGGCATCTTCAAGAGACTGTTGTCTTCAGACAAAGCGTTCAGCGAGTTAAACATCTCGATCGCCACAAGAACAGAGAGCGACAAAGTCATCGGCTTGACTTTCCCTGAAGTGAAGTAATCGCAAGGGTTGTTCTCGAACGAGATCGTCCTAAACCCACCAGAGATTGTGTAAGGAGCCGCGGTGAAATTCGATCCCCACGAAGAACATTCAGACCAATTCTGAAGCTGAGTGAAACTGACCAATGTATGTCCGTCTGAGATTAGGCTAATCCCGAGGAAAGAAGCTTGCGTGTACCACAAGACAAAGATGCCAACAGTCGCAACTCCAACATAAGAACCAATCATTATGTACCGAATTAGAACCCATGAATCGATGAGAGAATCATCGCTTTTGCGCGGCGGTTTCTTCATGATATCAATATCAGCTGGATTGAATCCTAACGCTGTAGCGGGAGGACCATCGGTTACCAGATTAACCCAAAGAAGCTGAACCGGTATCATACATTCCGGTATCCCCAGTGCCGCGGTCAAGAAGATGGAGATTACTTCTCCAACATTTGACGATATCATATACCTTCAAATGAAAAATCACAAGATCAGTATAATAATGATTACAGAGGAAACAAATCATGTAAAGGCTTTCTTCTTTATTTACCTGATAAAAGCTTTCATATTGTTGTAAATGGATCGACCCTCTGCTACAGCTGCGACGATTGTACTGAAATTATCATCTGCAAGAACCATATCTGAAGCTTCTTTCGCAACCTGAATTGCACATAATCGTACAGTATGTATCAAATCAAAAGTTTAGGGGTACTTTTGCGATTTTTGAAAATTATAAAACCGTTAAAGTTAGTTGATTTCTTTACCTCAGTTCCAGTGATTCCCATGGCGATTCCAATGTCAGCGAGTTTCAAAGCAGGAGCATCATTCACACCATCACCTGTCATCGCAACGATCTCTCCCATTTCCTTAAGCATCCTAACGATTTCTTGCTTGTGCCTCGGCTCAGCTCGAGAGAACACTTTCCCTCCAGGTGTCGACAGGATTTCGGATCGCCGTGAAGCAGGAAGAGACATAAACTCTCTACCGGTGAAGCTACTCTGCGAAAGGTCTTCGTTCTCTGAAAACAATCTAATCTCGCAGCAAATAGCCTCAGCCGTCGATTTGTTATCCCCGGTTATCACCATTACTCTGATTCCAGCTTCTCTGCAATCTTCAATTGCGTTTCCAACTTCCTCACGAGGAGGATCTCTGAGACCAACAACTCCAACGAAGGTTAAGTTTGTCTCGATGTTGGAATAGCAAGAAGGGTCTAAAAGCTTCTTGTGTGAAGGATGCTCTTCAGAGGAGTAATCCGAAAACTCTCCTAATTCGTCCTTGTAAGCTAACCCTAAACATCTTAAGCCCTTTGAAGTCATTTCAGAATGTTTCTTGAGGATCACTTCTCTGCAAGCTTCATCTAAAGGAACAAGAGATCCATCAGCAAGCTGCGTATATGAACTTCTCTCAAGTATACTCTCAGCTGCTCCCTGCAAAAGAGAAAAAAAAGAATGGGAACGTTCACAAAGAAAGTTTTCAACTTTGAACAGAGAAGAAGAAGAGATGGTGTGTTTTTACCTTAACGAGAAGCCGGTTTTGTCCGTTCGGTTCGCGCACGATAACACTCATGGACTTACGGACACGATCAAACTCCAATGTCGCTACCCTTTTCGATCTTTTGTTCCACCAGTCACAGCAAGCTAATACAGCAAGAATGGAAAAAAAAAACAAGATCAATCATCAACAAGATAACATACTTATACCAGTCAGAGAGTCATTGTAATAACTTTGAAGCCATTCTGAAACTTACGTAGCTTCACTGAGCTACCATTGTCTGCAAAGTTTGCGACTTCCTGGATACTCTCACCGTTCTTCTTCTCCGGAATACCCATCTTCTCGACAAGAACCTTCAAGGCTGCTTCTGTAGGCAAACCTGTTGCTCTAAACAGCTTTCCTTCGTAGAACACTCCAGCGTCATTACAAATCGAACATATCTCAGCGACAGCTTGTAAGTTAGCATCCATATTGTAGCATCCCCAATCCACAATTCCACCGTCTTTAGGATCGTAAGTCGTACCATCGACTGAAAAGACTCGACAAGTCGTTGTCTTGCCACCTAAGGTGAAGAATTCGGTTGCAGACATCTGGTTTGTTGTTAAAGTCCCGGTTTTGTCTGAACATATCACGGTTGTGCAACCAAGTGTCTCTACGCTCGGAAGCTTCCTCACAATCGCGTTCTTCTGCGCCATTTTCCTCGTCCCTAAAGCTAAACAAGTCGTGATCACCGCAGGTAAACCCTCGGGAATCGCAGCCACGGCGAGAGCAACCGCGATTTTGAAGTAGTAAGTGCACTTCTCCAACGAAAACCTGATGTTCACAGGCTTGTAACCATCCACAACATCCCAAGAGACAAAGTTCTTGTAGTTGATAATCCACACAAGAACACAGACGATGCAGATAGCTGTAGTCAGTCTACTCCCAAACTCGTCTAGCTTCTTCTTCAAAGGAGTCTCGCTCTCTTCTAGCGAGGCCTCGTGAATCTGCCTCTGGATTTTCCCGATCTCCGTATCCATACCGATACTCGTCACAACGCAAACGCAGCTTCCGTTAACAACAGTTGTTCCGGCGAAAACCATATTCTCTTTGCCCTGCAATTCACAATCATCCGCGACTACGAGGCTGGCTCCTTTCAAAACCGGCATTGCCTCTCCGGTTAACGAGCTTTGTTCGACTCTCAAAGTCGACGTTTTCAAACCGGAAACTCGCATATCGGCGGGGACTTTATCTCCTACATGTAACTCAACTATGTCCCCTGGAACAAGCTCTCTAGCAGGCAAATTAGGCAACACAGTTCCATCTCTAAGTACCTTTGCAGATTCACATTGCATCGCTTTAAGAGCCTCGAGTGCTTTCTCTGCGTTGCTCTCTTGCCACACACCAACCACAGCGTTTAAAATCAGGATTAAAACTATCACAAACGGCTCAACAAAAGCCTCGAACCCTGAACCTGAGCCATTTTCCTCGCTTTCGCCTAAAAACGCTAAAACGAAAGAGATAAACGCTGCGCCGAGAAGAATCTTCACAAGAGTATCGTCGAACTGTTCCAATACAAGATGCCACAATGGCTTGCCTTTCTCCTTTGCTAGCTCGTTGTAACCGTATTTTTGACGGCGGATTTGGACATCTTCGCTGGTCAGACCCTTGTCTAGTGTTGTATTGTACTCTTTCAGACATTGATCAACGGACAGCGACCACGCCAAGAACGACTTCTCTTCCTCCATTGATTCAAAAAGCTTTGACTTTGGAATTAGTCCAGAACGGTACTTCTTTAGGTGAAACCGTTTCTTAAATTCCTGCAAAAATTTTCAATCCAGCAATGAAATTTCAGTTAAAAAACAAATAAAGGTGCGGTTTTTGAGAGATATATTGACGGTTTTTGTCCATCATATAAAACAGAAGAAGTTTTCAAATTAAATAATCGAGATCTGTCAAAAAATGGAGAATCACACAAACCCAGAAACCAGAAACAAGAAGTGAGTGGAAGTGAGAGAGACAAAGCATGTAAAGAATCCCAAAACAGAGTACTCTTCTTACCTAAATTCCAGGACACCAAGTACAAGCTTTGGTCATTGAAATTTCAAAAGAAATCAGAGAAACCCATTAAAGAAAAATATGATTTGACCGAAAGTTTGCTTGGAGACAAAGCAGAAGACCCAATTTTTTTGAAAAGGAGAATATTTTTTCCCAAGTTTGATTAGGACAAGTCGTAGTTTGTGATGAAACTCGTTTTTTTTTTCTTTTTTTTCTTTTCGACTTTACTGCTTGTTTTGAATATATTTTGCTTCCTTCTTCTTCTTCTGTGCTTTGTTTGCTTTTCAGAAAAAGAAAAGCGAAGGTTTGGTATTAGTGGTGGTGTGTGGTCCCACTGGATTCGCTGTTCAAAAAGAAAACGGAACGTTACCACTTTCTAAATGACCATAATACCCTTATTTTAAAACCGTTATTACGTGTTTGACTTTCCCTTTCCCGTACGGCTCAGTCGTGTTTTCTTGGAGACCGGAATAACTCTATTTGGATATTCCATTTTGCTCTCTATAATAAATGTTTTTTAATTACATGCAAAGTCAATGATGTAAGACTTTAATAAATAACAACCAATGAAAGAAACTCACAAGTTCCGTATTGTAACAATGAATATTTTTATTTTCAATTGTTAGCATATCCGATTTAAATAAATGAATACTATCCGATTTAAATAAATAAATCATTGGTTTTACAACAAAATAAGCGAGGTTCCTCGAAGTTTCTTCCATTATTGAACTTGCCTCCTCTAGCTCCACTACTTTTATAGTATTTTGTTTATCTCACATCATATAATCTCTCATTAAACAAAAATAGCTTACTAATTTTTGTTCAAGTGTGCTATTATTGGTTGTATTCCTATGTGAAGATTACAAAGTTTGACTAATTGTACTGTATGCAGTATATATATTCATCAATAAAATGTAAATGGCGATGTGTTTAATCCAACACGTTGACAAACAAAACAATAAAACTAGATGGCAATAATGAACTCAAGTGAGGCTGACTCAGGTTTCCATCAGAGAATTGGGCCGAAAATGTTTTTTTAAGCCCAATCAGAGCCCAGAGGTCAATTTACAAAATTCCCATATTACCCTGAAAGCGATCAATGTTCGTCACAATCGTCACTAAACAGTTAACGCCGTCAAAAGATTCCGTAGCAGCTCCGGTTTGATTCATCGCCCAATCATAATCTCCGCCGCTGACGTCAGAATCTCTTCCTCTACTGCAATTTCGAAAAAAAGAAAGCCTTTGAGACGAGGTAGAGAGAGAGAGAGAGAGAGAGAGAAGAAAAGAAAGCAATGGGTCTGCTTACGAATAAGGTTGAGAGAGACGAGCTTAAACCTGGAGATCACATCTACTCTTACAGAGCAGTCTTCGCTTATTCTCACCACGGTACCATTTGTTTCCGTTTGATTTCATTCATCATTTGCCTTTTGATGATGCATTTGTGTGAATCATCCACGAATAACTGCTCTTTGGTTTCTATTCGGCGATTGAGTCTTTGATTTTGTCAAAACCATCTTTGAATTGTGTGAAATTGATGTCTCTGTTTGGTTATTAGGGTTTTTCCTCCCGTCGAAGTTACTGACTTTACAATTGAAAAGGATCTCTCTTTTTTTGTTTGTTCTCTGGTTTTTCAATCTCTGTGATGTTGACTTACAGCAAATAGATTTTGATTGCTTTTGTTGACATTTCAATTCTGAATTTTTCCACATTGGCAGGTGTATTTGTCGGTGGTTGCAAGGTGGTTCATTTCAAACCTGAGCAGAGCCTGAAATCTCCCACACCCTCTGCTTCTTCTGCTTCTTCGTCTTCGTCTTCTTCGTCTTCAGTTTCAGATGTTTATGATTCTTCAGAAGCTCCCTGTCCTACGTATCCTGACTGTGGATTCAAACAACCAAACAGTGGAGTAGTACTCTCTTGCCTCGACTGCTTCCTCAAGAACGGCTCTCTCTACCGTTTCGAATACGGAGTCACCTCGTCCGTTTTCCTCACCAGAATCCGCGGTGGCACCTGCACGACCGCTCCATCTGACCCGCTTCAAACGGTTGTCCACAGAGCAATGCACCTTCTCCAGAACGGGTTTGGTCACTACGACGTCTTCCAAAACAACTGCGAAGACTTCGCTCTTTACTGCAAGACGGGGTTGCTCATTCTAGATAAGAACGGCGTCGGAAGAAGCGGTCAAGCCAGTTCCGTTCTTGGCGCTCCTCTCGCTGCACTCCTCTCCTCACCTCTCACGTTGTTGATCCCAAACCCTGTTGGTGTAGCAACAGTCACTGCTGGGATGTACTGTATGAGCAGGTATGCTACTGATATCGGCGTTAGAAGCGACGTGATCAAGGTTCCCGTTGAGGATTTGGCTCTGAACCTCGGCATTAAGACCATCAAGAAAAGGTGAAAGCTTTTGGCACCAGCGTTTCCAGGTGAAGACAGATTCTATTGCGTTCGTGGAATTGTATGTACATAAGATTGGCCAATGTGTGGAGTTGTGATCTTTGCTCTTCTCCTTAATCTCATTCTCTTGTTTGCTATGGTGACACTGTAAGGATTCAACATTATCAAGATTTGGGTTTATAACTTTGCTTTTTACTAAACTAAGGAAACTCATATACTAAATGGATTTTATATACATGAAAACTCCGGTTTAAAATCTTCATGTTTTGTTGAGTTTTTCGATGGTTGTAATTGAAAGCAATTTAGGAACTTAGTGGTGGTTGTTTAGTGTTGTTGTCTCCGGTTTTCTTTTTTGAATCTTGTTTGAAATCTGCAAGATTTGCGAGTTCATCGACTGCTTCCACGGTTGTTTGAATTCTAGCTGCGTTTTCGATTAACAACGAAACCAAAGTGGCAACCGGAAGGACTTCATGTAGGCTCATGGACATGGTTCTGTCTTCGCTGTCTCCTTTGTTCTTCTCTTCGGATGGAACTTCTTCTTCTTCTTCAGGTTTGTTGGTTTCAATTGGAACAGTTTTTAAGGTTTCTTGAAGGTCTTGTACTGCTGAGTTCATATCAAACACCAAAAAATCCATCTTGGAAGATTTTCTGGTGTTCTTCATCATATCCGCTAATTCTCTCAAGATTTTTGAAGACGCTGAGCTCACTTTCGTACAAGCTTCTCCGAAATGCTTCTTGACCTGGTCTGGTGCCTGTTGAAGCAGATGAGACTAGTTTTAGTTTCACAACCTCGAAAAGTTAAAATTCTTAAAAACTATGATCAAATCTAAAAAAAGGTTACCTCTGTTTCATAGTTGATGCAGATACTGAGATTCTCAAGGCAATAAGCACATCTGCGCATAGCAGCACCTATCTTTACATATTGTTGCCATGGATGCCGGAAGTTAAAGCTTCCATGTGCAGGTTCCCATCTAGCTAGATTCGCCTGAGAGATTAAAAAAACAAAGAGCCGAATAAGAAGCTGCAAATCAAAAAGGTTATTGGATTTTCTTTATCCCCATAGATAAGTTACCATGGATTCCTCTGTTCCCTTAGAGTTTAGTACACATTTGAATCCTTGCAGCTTCATGTTGGTTTCTTCATCTTCAATCTCATTCGTCGAGACGTCTTTCTTCTTGAAGTACTCTGCTACACAGCCTGCAGTTTTTGATGATGGTCAGCGCAAAAGCTAATGCATGAAGCTTTGATAACAATTTTGATCTTCATATTCTCTCCCTTACCGTCTAATGAATCGGCAAGTTTGTCAAGGTTACGTTGAACAAGACGATGAAGCTGAGATCCTGCCCAGATGGGACAGAAGAAGACAGTAATGATAATGCAAATAGATGTTCCAATCGCAATAGTTGATACTCTTTGCTGAGCCAAGTCAACTAGCTTGTCTACTCGGTAACCTCCTACTGAGACAAGGCTAAATGTGAGGATGAAGATCATTGCTCCATAGTCGAATCTGGCTTTGAATGACGGCACAAACCGTGAGTACGTAGCTGCGAAAGCTGCAAGAATCAAACCCACAAGAGGAAAATTTGAATATAGATCGATATTGTACAACAAAGATTGATCCTTTTAAGGGTTTTGGGCATTACCAAAGAGAAAAACAGAGCATCCAATCACAAAAATCTCAGCTTTTCCTGATTGTGTCGCAACCCAATGAACAGCAATGCCTAGTGATCCAGCTAATATAGTTGCCACCACTCTGTTCACACATTTGGAGAATGTTGCACCTGTTGTACATACATATACATATAGGTCAATTTCACTCATTAAGAAGAAGAAAGTTGAAAACTTTTGATTTTGGGTTTTGGTTATACATACCAACATTGGACTCGAAGACGACGACAACAGTCATGATAGCCCACATAGCATTTCCACCAACACCATCATACAAAGGTCTCATGTAATAGAAGATTGAGACTAACGAGAGTGCAAGTCCTACTTTCAGACAGTGAACCACTTTGGCCGGATCATCAGCTCCAATCCTCCAAGCCATCCTCATAAACTTTGCCATTGGCTCCACGAGTACCTTCATTACCAAGTCATTTAGCCAAAGAATGATCCTTTTACTTACTCCCGATTTAGGAACCAGTCTCTCTGTTGTCCCATTGTCTACACTTATCCTCCACTCTAGCTTCCCTGCTTCTTCTTTTGATCCCATCTTGTTATTATACCCGAGAACCTTAAACCCAAAAAAACCTATCAAATTAATGTTTTTGGTCAAGAAATGTTTCGGTTTTGTTTGATGAGCATTGCAATTTGGGGTGTTACATATATAGAGATTATAAGGGTATTCGCATGTAATAGTTTTTACTATTTCCAAAGCTATTGAAATCATTTTAGGTGGTGACAAATATTAATTATTTGTTATATCTACTACAATATATTATTGATCACTCTCCCACTTGGATGTGAACAAAATAAAAAGAAGATGAAGTGGCCTAATTGAAAAGTTATATGATTAATCCAGATTTGTGCTACAAAGTCGTCATCGCTCAAGTAACAAAGTTGTCATCGCACAAAGTACTGATGTTGACACTGTCGTACATCCATCCATTTCAAATGCAACGTATGTTTATCTTTTTTTTTTGTTACATAAACTGTAAATAGTAAATTTAATGTCACAAGATATAAGAAGTTTCAAATCTTGTATATTAATAATTGTACATGCAAAAAGGAACGTCCAAGATCATACGTATATGTTATCAACCCTAACTTGTACCATAGTTATATATGTAAGTTTTTTCATACATCATAAATGTGAAAGGGTATGATTGAGTTCATCAGCTAAATTTCATCAACTGTAAGGTTAATTACCTCAAAACTATTTTCTTCGAGAATATTTTGCATGAGAGCTCTAGGAATTACCGTATTAATTTTTTTTTCATTTCAAATCACTCTTCTAATAGACGATCGAAAATATCAAATAAAATCAATCAGAATCAAACAAATGAGATTACTAATAGTCTATTACATCCACTTATAAGTGATATCAGATATAAAATTTGTCCGCGTGCGTGTTCGTGTGCATTGCATGCGAACACACATGCACGATTTCACATCAAGTGAAAAGTAGATGGTCGTAAGCAAATAAAGCCCTTCGCATATTCCTTTTGGTTGATTAGAAAATTCACCGTACCACGAATATAATTTAATTATTTTGTCTTGTTTGATTTATTTATTTGTTTTTTTTTTCGCGCATTGAAGTTCGAATTGAATTTGCTATTACAGGCACAATCAAAGAGATATGAAAGTGGCACGTTTGACTTACACTACCTTTTAATAATGTATATACAAAATTAAATACTTGGGAGTTACAAAATATATCAAACCAATAAGAAGAAAAAGATGACATAACCTAACTTTATATTAGGTCACTAAGTGAGCCCCTAATTATAAGAGACCTAATTTAATTGTTGGGTTCTCCCTATCAAACATTATCTTGCCCTAAGTGGACGTACTTATATATATTATCACACTAGGCAAGATTTTTATTTATGTTTTTAAATTCTTATTTGTGTGGTCGAAAATTAATTGAAGAATACAATGTAGAAGATATTGTACCACTTTAGCTACTTCGGGTTGCCCTATTGGGTCTTGTGAATTTTTGTGAAGTGCCCTTCAGCTTATCACCTTTTTGTTGGTGATGTGATAAGAAGAGCGGTTTAACGTTTTTGTCTTATCGAATTTGTTTATAAATATATCGTGTTGGGATTAGGTCACGATTGAAATATATATATATTTTATATAAAGATTTTTTGGTATATTCCGCTAAAAAAAAATATAAAGTCACTGGCATGCTTAGTTAAAAAAAAAGTCACTGGCATGCAACAGAAATTTCTGTTCACAATATCAATGAACATATATGTAGGTATCAAAAAATTTGCACCGAATATTGCTCTGCATGACACAAAATATATATATTTTGAATGTGATTATACTAAGCTCTTCTTGCATAGTTGCACTTTTGATCTCTACAGCTTCTCATGGATTATATCGGATTTTGGTGGACAATGTACGTCATATACGTCAATATATATCTCCTTACTTCTTTTTTTCTCCCATATATATTTTTTTTGTCTTCAAAACCTAATAAAATCTAGTGATTTCTCAGTGAGAGCAGCAAGAAGAGTGACTAAACGTCTGATTTACTGAACCAAAGAATAATAAAGAGGTAATAAACTTTTGATAAAACATTGGTTTACTTCCAAGTAAAGTAACACTATTATCTACACTATTATAAGAGGATCATTTTTTATAAATAACCTTTATCTAACGTGTTATTTACCTTAATTGCCATTAATGAATTAATACTAACAATATGATTAAACTTTGTAACATAATTATACATTACTAATTAATAAACATACACTGCCCGTCATTATAGTTTTGTTATAACAGATTAAAATCAATACCATTATCGGCGATTTTGAACCATTTATTGCACCAGTTTGTACCTGCTTCGATCAAACACAAGAAACACAACATTAGTTTACAATCACATTATAATGGATTCCTACTTCTAATATATTATCTTGATTATTTTCCATAGTTCTATTGATCGAAACCAATATGGACTAAATCATTCTAATCAAGTGTAAGTAATGTCTTAGCATGATGAATAACAAACCATATTCTATCAACCGAAAACATACACTGAATGATCCTAATCTATACTATTAAAACATGCAGCCATAATGTATAAAACGTTTTGATCACGAAATCTTTATCAGTTTTAAACATCCGCGCCACGCCATTAAAAATCTGTTTAAATTTAAAACTTCAAATCTGAACAAGCAAGTTTTCCGTAACTAATGATTCTATTTGAAATTTCAACTAGATTTTCTTTTAAAAGAAATCCAATAGCTACAAATTAGAATTACATACATTCTTATTTTAAATAGTTTAGATATTCCTCTGATCCTACCATCCCGTAAAATCTACCATCAATAACCTATATTGTTAACTAAATATTCCTTTTTAAGAGAATTATTCCGTATTCTCTAAGTATATCTAATATCATCCATATATTTTCTATTCCTTGAAACTGTAACAACCCCAACTAATCATTTCACCTATAAATACATACTTCGACTTAGTTCGATAACTCATTCGAACTACACAAAGCTTCCATTGTTAATTCTAAAAAGACTCATTCGTAAGCATCATGTAAGTATTAAAGAAAATATAATCATTGATCTCTAAACATGATTTCAAACTTATGCTTATGCAGTGACATGGAACGCTACCTGCACATACTCACAGTTTCTAACCAGAAAGCAGAAAGCATCCAAGCTGTTGTGTCTCTTTCTCTTATATCTTTAATGACACCATAACTCATTACCCGTCTTTGTGCATGTGGCTGCAAAAACAAAAGAGTTGCGACAAGTGAGCAATACAAAAAGAAAACAAATCAAGGAAATTTGAAACTCTTTCTTATCTCCTGAACTGAGCCAGAATCTATCCCACTTTACTTCTAGACAAAGGATATGCTTTTATATTTGTTCATATATATAACTTTTATATTTTGATTCGTAATAAGGAAGACAAAGTTTCATAAAACACAATCATTACACTAACGACTTCTCATTGTACAATTAATAATTACAGTCACAAAGAGTGCTACAAAAAGATATATATCAGGAGACATAGCCAAAGATCAGATTCTGGGGATGAACTTAATATCTGTTTAGAAAAGGAAAGAAAGAGTCGAGCAAAAAGAGCAGTTTCACTTAAGCACTCAAAACACTTTGTTTTGTTTTTAAATTACCTACACGAAAGTCAGCAAGTAAACAAGATTTCCATTGTTCTGTACCTGAGCATATAATTGTATGGATCCGTCTTCACTGATTCTGGTTGTGACTCTACCCTCTAATATCCAAGCACGAGACAGTTTAAAATTTTGGTGTTGTGTGTTGAGTCCTTTGACAACGAAACTGAGACTTTTTTTAATGATTGCCCGGATAACTGAAGATTGAATCTAGAGCATCTCTAAATCGGCAAGTATTTGATACAATGGTGATTTTGTAACATAACCTGCAATTGAGTGAACAATTGAGTTCTTTCATACAAAAGATTTTGAAATCGATCCTTAATTTGCCTAAACCCTATAATATCATTTATTAAGATTAAATGAGAACTTAATCCATTTGGTAAATCAAGTTTACCTTCACTAAATGTCGGTTGTGGCTTTGTGATTTCCCTATTGATCCAATCTTCTCAGCTCGCTTTGGAAGGTTTACAATTGTCTACAGAGAAGATGAATGGGTTGATCGCATACTTATTTTGGTTTGATACATGCATTTTTAGTCACTTCAGCTGGAGTCTCCATTGCTCTCCAACAAACGAAACCCAAATCTAGATCAGAGGTAAAAATCTGAAGCTAATTGAGTTGAATCGAGATCATTCCGTTTGAATTGGACATTGAACAAGCTGCTAGGATACGAACTCCAACGTACCGTTCCAAAGAGAGAGAAGCGTGAGGTGTTGCTGCCAGAGAATATACAGTGCGTGAAGCTCGGATTCCTTGATGTGATTCGATAGTGGATCCAGCATGAAACTAAAGAGATTCGCCGAGAATAGTTGAAGAGGATCATTGAAGAAGAAGACGAGGCCGATTGAGATGGTTAGTGAGACGGCGACAAAGAGGTAGCGTTTTTTGAGCGAAATATTCCTCCGCGAGAGAATGTACTCGATTTGAAACGCCGATCTCGGACTGGTGGTGGTGAGGAAATCGGATCTTCCGGGCGGCGATTGCGAGCAAGATGAAGATCTGATAGTAGAATCGCATTTTTAAGATTTGAGCTGAGATTTGTCGTTTTCAGCTCCCGACGAACGAGAAAACAAAAAAATTTATTTTGCTGTCTAAACCAATTAAATAAAGATGATGGGCCAAAAGAGAAAATTTCACAGTGGACCAAAATAGCGTCATTTATCAATTATATCAATCTATGGGTCAATCTAAATTTTTTAATTATAATAAAACTCGCGTCCATGGCGCAGATCCAGAATCTAGTTTTGCTTTTAAAATTAATTATTTAATACCATTTTCAAACAGAAGTAAAAAATATAACTAATACATATACTACTAATTAACTAAAACAATTTCATTAATTTCACCTAAATGATATATATATATATATATGTTTTGTTTTAACGTTCTTACATAGACAAAATCGATTTTCTTCCTTTCATAACGTCGTTCGCTAAATCTCTGATTGACGTTTAGAACCAATAAGAACTAACCATGTCGCACATATGCATAGATCGCACTATATGCGAGTCGGATTATTTTTAATAGGGCCATTAGGAATGATCTAATTAATTCAGCACTGCCGGCATATTTTTTGGTTTAATATCTCTAAGAAAAATTATTTAAATTTCTACAGACAGGAAACCTAAAAGATTTTTTTCTGTGTAGCTTCTCGTTTGTTGAATGAGTTTTTGGGCCTTTCGTTATAGGTATGAACCTTTATGGGGCCTAATACTTCCAATGGGCCTTAAACGTTTTATTAATATTCCAGTTAGCTGTTCTTAATCGGCGTGTTTCGAAATTTACATGTTCTTTTAGCAAACTAAGATGGATACAAAAATGAACAGAGAACCAAAAAACAAATAAAAAGAAAACTCAAATAATGATTGTGATCACAAGATTCACAACATGTAATCTAATGGCTTATGATAAAATGGTCGCTGTGTTACTATTTGAGTTCAAATCAGTTGAAAATTATTAATACGTACACAACGATGATAATATGTATTTTATCATTTTTTTTGCATAAGTACAGTATTAAAATTAGCTAGATCAATGTATAACTACACAACAATTTTACTATTTCCTTTTACCTATGCGTGTCTTTAATTATTCGGTTAGAAGTGAAAGCTAATATAAAGCTTGAAGAAAAACTTAAAGAGAGTGATCATTGTAGAAGATGATTGAAAGATTCAGTTTCATTTTAGGTTAAACGTGTGTACGCAGCGAAGGTGTTTGGATTAGAGGAGGATTGGATTTGCTTTCCCTTTCTCATGGGCTGAAATTTCCGGTCGTGTTGTCTAGTAAAAGATGCATAGAGACAGGGGTCATCTTTAGTCTTCCCTTTATCAGAATAAAAACAAATTAAAGCAAATAGAAATAGAATCTAAGTGGACATTTGAGAAAACGATTTGTTATTGGAATAGTCTTTAGTTGGAGCAGGTGCATTGTCGTGTCTTTTTTTCTATATTATAATATAATAATATAGTAAATTAAGGAATACTATGTTACATTGATTTTTTTTCTGATAATTTTTTATATGTCACAGTGTGTTGTATTCAACACGCAATTCTGTTCATGGACAGTTTGGTCTCCTTAGTTTCCAAATCAGACTTTGCTTAGAGAAAAATCTCACATAAACCGAATTGAACATAAACATTTACATAAATAAAAATCGGAAGTCATGTTAGGATTTAGAATCCCATCCATCCTAATATGTAATTTTCAAAAATACTGATCATTTTAATTAATATATACAAGGTCATCTACGAAACTGATTGTTCATAACACTTTAATTATTTTATATTTCGCACAGTATACAAATTATCATAGGTGGTCAGTCATCAGTGCTCGTTTTTATTTTAATATAATATATTTGAACTAGTGATGAATAGCTGCTTTGATATGAAGGTTACATGAAGGTTTTTAGTTTTTTTTGTTCTTTCTTACAGTTGACTTTACGTATTTTGTATTGTCTGTCGCCAAAAAAATTGAATCGTATACTATATATGTTTTGTTTCAATACAGGGAAGAACCTATCGCGCAAAATTTCATATATACCAAAAGGTGATGAGCATAAATAACCCACCATAAAATCCAGGAAAAAAAAATGAAAACTAATTAGTATATTGATGATGGTTATGATTTATGAATCTCACATGAATATTGAAATAAAGACTAAGGTAATATATAAATGATCAACCAATTCATACTTTGTGAATTGGTTTTGAGTGGGTACCACATAAAACTTATAGGCATTGATCAAATGAAATTGTGATATGATATAAAACTATAATATAGAATAATATGGATTAGACACATATATACGTTAAAGGGTCCTAAAGAAACAAACTAAAAACCAAACAAGTGGCTCCATCAAACAAAAGACAAAGAAAGTGAACAGAAGAATTTAAAAAGTGGAAAGAAGAATCATCATGCTCGTCCCAAGGCGACTCTTCCGGGTCTGAAAATTCCAAATATAATCACTTATTTTTTCTCGTCACTATTTGTTTTTGTCTTTAATGTCTCGTCCTTTCATTTGACAATATTCATATCACCACGTTGGTCCACCACTATCACCACCTAGGATGATTCCACTCCATAGCTCATTGCTCGAACCACTTTCTCTCTTCTTATTACCATCATCGTGTCTCTCATGGTGACGACGATGTTCATCATGATCTCCATAAGGAAACATCAACTTACTTCCTCCTTCATTAACAACGAAGTTATTATTATTACCAATGTCCTCCTTGTTCCTGTCCAATGAAAACCCAGTATTGGTCTTGTTGCGGTCATCATCATACTCTTGACGAAACTGAATCATTCCCATAGGAGCTGCGAAAAGGCAGTTTTGCCCTCCTGTCATAGCTTGTTCTGTGAAATGACCATAATGTCCTTGAGATCTCTTGTCTTGCATAGCAGAAGCGGAGAAGGAGAGACTGAGGCCATTATTGTTTTGATGGGTCTTGCTAGGGTTTGATGGTGTTGATGATGATGTGAAGACAAAAGGAGGGTTGAGATCTGGGAGTTTCTTGGTCGATGTCGGAGAAGAAGAAGAAGAAGATGGAGAAGAGGAATTAGGAAGTAGTAGTGGAAGCTTCTTGTTCTTTCTAGATCCTCCGCCTACGGGGACATTACGGAGAGAGCCACCTTCTGTCCAATATCTCCTACAAGACTTGCACAAGTACCTAGGCTGTGCTAAGCTGTAGTTGTTGTAATAACAGAACTTGGTGTTGCTTGAGTTGCATCTTGGACAGTTTCTTGGTTCTTGTGGCCTAGTGTTCATCGTCGCCATCATCTTCTTCTCATCGTCCATTATCACTGTTGTTGAATCCATTGTTGCTGTTGTTGTGATGATGTTGTTATAGGGATTATTGTTAGTAACCGTCATTTGATGTTGGTATTGATCATCTTGATGATGATGATAGTTATGATGGTTCATGATGTGTGCTTCGATAAGATTTTATACAATCCCTGTGAGATGTATGATCAACCCACGTAATTAAGTATATAAAAGCATGATATCAAAAGTGGAACCTATATAAATAAATAAAACTGATATTGAAAGAACATAAGGAAGTTACAAGTCCATGAACCAAAAGCTATAGAGATTTATATACATGGAACTATACGGAATATAAAACCGATCTAGACTAAATCAATCTAGGATCTGAGAGAATGAGAACAAATAATCACTTTGTAAACGTATGATCGAGCAGCAAAAGTTCTATGATTAAGGACAATAGAGGGATACCTTTATCAATAATATTTTTCCAGATCAACTAATAAAAAGGTGTTAGGAGCTGATCTCTAAAATTAAGGCCACACATCTTTTTAAAAAGGAACAAAATTTCAAAGAAATTAGAAGGTGGAAAATTAAAACCCTTGAAAAGTGAAAAAGAAAACCCTAATAAACACATCAACTAAAAAGCAAAAGAAGTTGAAAAAAAAAGAAAAAAAAAAGAAAAGAGAAAGTAGTTGCAGAAGAAACAAGGGGATAGAGAAAAAGGGAAGAAGATGAACTGACCTGATGATCAAAGAGATGACTTAGAGGGAGAGAGAAAGAGAATGTTTTGAGGCTATAAACTTTAGAAGTGTTGGTTTCACTTTTATGGGCATTTTAGTGGTGTGTTTGTTTTGACTTGTCATTTTCTTCTTTTCTTTATTTTTTAATTGAAGGTTTATCACATTAATGTAGTTGATTTTTAGTAAAATACATGCCAAAAAAATTGTGTATAATTCGAGTTTGGTGGTGTTTAAGGGAATGAAAATTGATTCGCTTGGTTTGTTGATTTATATCTCTCACTCTCCCTCGTTGTTACATTGTTACATCCATCTGTGAAGTCATCTACATTAGAACTCCAAAGAGGGATCTGAAATGCGATGATTGTAACGATCAGTTCCAACCAAGTTATAATCAACTTGAACATGTTGATGAGTTCACGAGAAGTAGAGAATTTGCTTACCAGAGACTAGTGGAAAAATTGTTAAGCGTTACTCATGCTTATGAATCCCCAAGTGCTGTAGTTATCTTAGTTGTTACTAGTGATAAAGATTTTAGCTATGCAATTAGTGATTTAGATAATAATAACTATACAATCTTTTCGGTGGTTAAAGATGGACTTGAGATGCAACAAAGAGGTCTTCATGTTCATGACCATGTTCATCCTTTTAGTCCTACATCAAAGATTGTTCAACCTCGTTAAATGTTTTATCGTTGAACTTGTCAAATGAAGTATTTCGATAAGGTTTTTGTGTAGCATAGTTTATATTAGATTTAGATCATACAAGGAAACTATATTTTGGCTTATTTCAGTAAAAAAAAAAAAGGCAATGAAAACAGTGAACAGTTGGATTCTATGTTAATTGAACTGCATTTTTTGTTTCTTATGTGTTTCAAACCATCAAAAAACAAGGTCGCACCTTAATTAGCAAAATTGAACTGCATGCATCTGTAAAGGATTTCGAGTTTATCATAATGATTACAGTCCAATAACTGTACTAACATTAATTAGCAAAATTGAATTGCATGCATCTGTAAAGGATTTCGAGTGTATCATAATGATTACAGTCCAATAACTGTACTAACATTAATTAGCAAAATTTTTATATCTAAGAAATCTTTGATCAACTACTCAACTACATTAGACTAAATTCTACATACATATGTACTACAACACACACAAAAAATTTAAATTTTCGAGTTTTTCGATTTTCTTCCGAAGATGTGTGTATTAACACAGACAAAAAATGTTAAATTTTTTAGTTTTTTTAATTTTTTTGTCAAGGTATGTGTACTAACACACACACAAAATGTTAAAATTTTGAGTTTTTTAATTTTCTTGCCAAGATATATGTATTAACACACACAAGAAAATGTTAAATTTTTGAGTTTTCTTTTTAATTTTCTTGTGAATATATATGTACTATCAAACACTCACAAAATGTTAAATTTTCGAATTTTTTTAATTTTCTTGTCAAGATGTGTGTATTAACACACACAAGAAAATGTTAAATTTTTGAGTTTTTTTTTTAATTTTCGTGTGAATATATGTGTACTAACACTAATACAAAAAATGTTAAATTTGCGAGTTTTTCAATTTTTCTTGTCGTGATGTGTGTAATAACACTCACACAAGAAAATCTTATATTTTCGAGTTTTTTTTTTAATTTTTTAGTCAAGATATGTGTATTAACACAGACACAGACACACACACACACACACACACATACACAATGTTAAATTTTCGAGTTTTTTAATTTTTTTGCCAATATGTGTGTACTTAACACACACAAAAAATGTTAAATTTATAAGTTTTTTTTTACTTTTCTTGTGAATATATGTGTACTATCACACACACACACAAGAAAATGTTAAATTTTTGAGTTATTTTTTATTTTTTTTTGTGAATATATGTGTACTACCACACACACAAAAAAAATTTAAATTTTTGAGTTTTTCAATTTTCTTGCCAAAATGTGTGTATTAACACACACAAGAAAATGTTAAATTTTTGAGTTTTTTTTAATATTCTTGTTAAGATATGTGTACTAACAAACACACAAAAAAATGTTAAAATTTTGAGTTTTTTTAATTTTCTTGCCAAGATGTTTGTATTAACACACACATGAAAATGTTAAATTTTTGAGTTATCTTTTTAATTTTCTTGTCAATATATGTGTACTATCAGACACTCACAAAATGTTAAATTTTCGAGTTTTTTAATTTTCTTGGCAAGATGTGTGTATTAACACACACAAGAAAATGTTAATTTTTTTAATTTTTTTTACTTTTCTTGTGAATATATGTGTACTATCACACACACAAAAAATATTAAATTTTCGAGTATTTTAATTTTCTTGCCAATATGTGTGTCCTTAACACACAAAAGAAAATGTTAAATTTATTAGTTTTTTTTAATTTTCTTGTCAAGATATGTGTACTAACACACACAAAAAAAATGTTAAATTTTTAAGTTTTTTTTTTATTTTCCTGCCAAGATGTGTGTATTAACACACATACACACACACACACAAAATGTTAAATTTGCGAATTTTAAAATTTTCTTGCCAAAATGTGTGTATTAAACACACACAAGAAAACGTTATATTTTTGAGGTTTTTTTCATCTTCTTGTCAAGATATGTGTATTAACACACACACAAAAAAATGTTAAATTTTCGAATTTTTTAATTTTCTTGCCAATATGTGTGTACTTAACACACACAAGAAAATGTTAAATTTATGAGTTTTTTTTTTAATTTTCTTATGAATATATGTGTACTAACACACACACAAAAGAAAATGTTAAATTTTTGAGTTTTTTTTTAATTTTCTTGTAAATATATGTGTACTACCACACACACACAAAAAATTTAAATTTTCAAGTTTTTCAATTTTCTAGCCAAGATGTGTGTATTAACACACAAAAGAAAATGTAAATTTTTGAGTTTTTTTAATTTTCTTGTCAAGATATGTGTACTAACACACACAAAAAATGTTAAAATTTTGAGTTTTTTAATTTTCTTGCCAAAATGTGTGTATTAACACACACAAGAAAATGTTAAATTTTTGAGTTTTTTTAATTTTCTTGTCAAGATATGTGTACTAACAAACACAAAAAAATGTTAAAATTTTGAGTTTATTAATATTCTTGCCAAGATGTATGTGTTAACACACACAAGAAAATGTTAAAGTTTTGAGTTTTCTTTTTAATTTTCTTATGAATATATGTGTACTATACGACACAAAATGTTAAATTTTTGAGTTTTTTAATTTTTCAATACACACACAAGAAAATGTTAAATTTTTAGTTTTTTTTAATTTTCTTGTGAATATATGTGTACTATCACACACACACAAAAAATGTTAAATTTTCGAGTATTTTGATTTTTTGCCAATATGTGTGTACTTAACACACACAAGAAAATGTTTAATTTTTGAGTTTTTTTAATTTTCTTGTCAAGATATGTGTGCTAACACACACAAAAAATGTTAAATTTTCAAGTATTTTAATTTTTTTGCCAATATGTGTGCACTTAACACACACAAGAAAATGTTAAATTTTTGAGTTTTTTTAATTTTCTTGTCAAGATATGTATACTAACACACATACAAAAAATGTTAAATTTGCGAGTTTTTCAATTTTTCTTGCCGTGATGTGTGTAATAAAACTCACACAAGAAAATCTTATATTTTCGATTTTTTTTTTAATTTTCTTGTGAATATATGTGTACTATGACACACACACAAGAAAATGCTAAATTTTTGAGTTATTTTTTAATTTTTTTGTGAATATATGTGTACTACCACACACACAAAAAAATTTAAATTTTTGAGTTTTTCAATTTTCTTGACAATATGTGTGTAGTAACACACACAAAAACATGTTAAATTTTTGAGTTTTTTTAATTTTCTTGTCAACATATATATACTAACAGAAACATACAAAATGTTAAAATTTTGAGTTTTTTAAGTTTTTTCAAAGATGTATGTATTAACACACACAAGAAAATGTTAAAGTTTTGAGTTTTCTTTTTAATTTTCTTGTCAATATATGTGTAATGTCACACACTCACAAAATGTTAAATTTTCGAGTTTTTTAATTTCTTGCCAAGATGTGTGTATTAACACACACAAGAAAATGTTAAATTTTTTAGTTATTTTTTTAATTTTCTTGTGAATATATGTGTACTATCACACACACAACAAAATGTTAAATTTTCGAGTATTTTAATTTTCTTGCCAATATGTGTGTACTTAATACACACAAGAAAATGTTAAATTTTTGAGTTTTTTTCATTTTCTTGTCAAGATATTTGTACTAACACACACACA